CTCGAAGAAAAGGCAATTCACAACAAACAACATGACACTTCACAGTTGACTGACTAGAATAGACTCAATAGTCAATAGAGTACTCGAAAGTCAATAATTTTGCATTCAAACGTCAAACCTTTAGATTCTGTTGTTGGGGGTCAGCCCCTCTAAAGGTCGACGGTCCGGCCAGTATAGTACCAGCACATGAAGCCAAGCAAAACAAACTCAGGGAAACAAACAGAGGAAGAACCAAGCAAACATGTATTAAATATAATCAGTGGTACATGAAGGTGAAAGGTGAAAATTAGTTGGTTAGTCATGAGACAGCCCAGGGCTATGAGTGCTGGGGTGAACCTAGCATGAAAACATGAATAACCAGCAGCCCAAACTGGTTTGAACAGTAAAGAATATATATGGATACATGGTAAATAAACTAAACTGGGCCAGAATAATGATCCGTAGCATAAATCAAATCAAGAATAATGACGCCAAGCAATCAAGTGCTCAAATTGGGCCCTGGGTCAGGCCTGGTCCATCAAGTGGCGTCCGCACCAAAGAAACAAGACGGCGGTGGTCTTATTTGTGAGTAGCAGTGGGGTAGACTCAACTGGCATGTTAGGGCAGTTCTGACATGAGTTGCTAGACAGGACTTGAAGGGCATCCACGCTGGCCTCTAGTGTCAGCTCAAGTAGCTGGAGAGCAGCCCAAGACTCGACTGCAATGTGGCTCAGTGAGCCCAAAGCTTGCCTGTCACTTGTCCAGAACTGGCATCAAAAACATTTAGACACTGGGGACAAAAAGGAGAGAATTAATTGAAAACACTTAATAAATCATTCATTTACCTAAATGCAGCCCCTAACACTGTGAACCTTGTGATTTCTTTAGTATGAAAACTTTGGAAGGCTCACAATATATCACGTAAAGTTTTCACTCAATTATAGTCTCGAAGTTTGGGAGCTTTATCTGCAGTAATGTTCTGTAGTCACCTCACTGATTGCGTAATGAGAACTAACCACTAACCATCATAGGATTCCCCCACTGTTGCACACGATTGATTCTGCATGCATGTATAATATTTACGAAGGTTATTAAACTTGACGTTGCACACATTCTAGCGATGATTGGATCCCTGTGACAGTACGTTGGACGCGTTCAAGCATTGATTGGATTCTTGTTACTATGGTGATGCAAGCGCTGTTTTTTCAATGAAACAGCTGTGACATCTTGCAAAGACTCATCAGTGATGATGATAGACTGAAAGTGGAAGTGTGCTGGACGTTCCAGATTTTTGGGTCCTGCTTTCCAATTTGCTATGTTTAGCAGTTAATATATTACCCCTCTGGAATGCCACACTGAATTGTAGGGTAAACACACCATATTCTGACATCCGACATTTTGAGTAATTCTGACACTTCTCAACTTTTTCCTTTATATTAAGCTTTGTCTTAGTTCCATGCCTGCGTAGATGGTTGAAATAGTAACCTCGTACTATTGCGCGTAATATTTCCACCAAACACTAGTTCTGGCAGGGAAATGTTGAGATCTGCAGAGCAAAACTCCACATCACCCAGTGTGGCCAGTGAGAACATCAAAACACAAGTGCAGAGTGCAATTCTTAGATTAGAGGTTCACTTGAAAAAAAGCATTCCACCTTAAAAAAAATATATTCCAGGCAACTAGGAACAGGTTTGCAGGTTGCCAGAAATTGGCCTTGGCAATCGGTATGAACGTTAAGTCAGGCAACACAGAGAAGATCCCAAGATTGTTAATTGTGCCATCACTCATGGATAAGCAAGAGGAATCTACTGAAAGAAGAGCACACGTTGTGCTAGGTAGAAGTTACAAGGTNTCAAATAGTTTTTGAGTTTTGGGGATTTTTGTTAAAAAACTAAAAGTGGTCTAAGTTACCCCATTTTATGGTACTCTTGATTCTGAAAAAAGTTCCATTAGATCTTGCCAATATACTTGAATGTAAAAGTCGCCTTTATGCAAGTTAATTAAGAGCACTAGATGTATCAGTTGTTCAGAGTTTGACCAGTTGATTCAGAGAACACCAAATTATTTTCTTCTTCGGTCATACCTAATTAATTTATTCTTTGATTGTTTACATTATTTCTGAAAATCATACCTGAAGCTGATTTGGAAGATACACTAGCATCCGACTCCCAACCAGCTCAAACAAACGCAGACCCGATTGCAAGCAATCTATGCCTTTGTATCATGAATATTAGTTAAACTGCACATGAAGAAAAATATTTTCAAAATTGGCATTGTTTATCTATGAACGATACTTACACTCTTGTTGATAAAGCTTGCATTTTATATAGAAAAAATAAACATGATTAATCAACATAAAAATGTTTGAATTCAAATATTGTATCAAAACATCATATAATAATTAGTGGAAGTAAAGGGCTAAATATCGGAACATTACATTTAAAAGCTAATTCTTTCATTTCAATAAAACCATAGCAATCCAAATATACTATACAAAAACATAAAAAGGTGCAAAAAGACAAGCATAGAGCATATAGAGACTAATTTGCAGAGTATTTGAAACATATCACGTATCTGTGTGAAAATGGAGAGCGTGAATTACAGTGACGACTGATTAATACAGTCAACTCATTAAGGCTGGAGTTATTTTTCCCCATCAAACTTATGCTCCAAGTTTTGACACCGTCAACAAGATGAAATTTTGTCACTTGGGAGCTGGGTTGTGTCACATGAAATTGCGCTAAGTTGCAGCTGAGTTGCGTCAAAGGAAGTTGCGCTACTTGGAAGCCGGGTTGTGTCACATGAAGTTGCGCTACGTGGAAGCTGGGTTGTGTCACATGAAAGCGCACTTTGTGAGAGCTGGGTTTTGTCACAAGGGGCAACGGTATTGCAAGAAGAGGTGCATGAAGTTGCATGTACAGGGAGAAGAGATGTAATAGAGCTTGTTGTCTCAATGTTAGGCAATGCAACTGTCCTGTCAAAGATTTGAATTGGATTGCTGGTTGCACACTTGATAACTTACCTATTTTTAACATATATACTGAAGTACATACAATAAGAATTGATGTGATGATGCTTCAAATGCCGAATTAGGTTTCCACAGCTATTTTTGTAAAAACTTACTGTCTTTTTACTAAAGGTACAAAATTTGCAAGTGGCAGTTAGAGACCTGCCAGCTCCTACTTGGATATTTTTGAATGCAAATTCAATTACAGGATTAGGATCCATGATATGATAGCTATTTCATGTAATCATTTGTCAACATTTAAACACCTGAAAAATGACACGAATTAATGTTTTCAATAGGAATCAGATTATTAGCATTGTTTTTTACTCACAATTGAGGATAGTGGATCACATTCTCAAATCTCAACTGGCTGGGCTAGATTGGCATCGACAGAGTACAAGTGCTTGACTATGATAAACTGGCTGTTGAGCTTCAAGCAGCCCCAGATGCTCAATATGGGTCCGATGTACAGTACTTAGTTCGCGACATGGTATTGAGCACAAAGGGCAACAGCTGAATATATGTTATGGCTGCAAAGTCAGTGAGAGCACTTATGAATTAAGAAACCTGTTAATTGTAAGCATCTATAATATGCCACTGTCAGTATAAATATATGGAACACTTGAAAGTTGCAAGTTTGAGGTCAGGTACAGTGTACAGCTGTGGCTCGCCACACGGTACGGACTACACCGTATGGTGCGTCCTAATGAAGTTTACTCCTAGTCCAACTTGGAGCTGCAAAATTTTAGCATAAGGCAGGAATTTTGCTATTCTGATGCAGAGCAAGTGGCCCCACTGGCCAATCTGGAATTTGGGCAGAATTTTCTAAAAATCATCAAGAAAAATCATTATTTTGTGGAAAATATTGAAAATCGTGGGCGAAAATTAGTAAGAATAGATTTAATTGTCCACAAGTATGGGCAATTTTCATTTCATTCAAAGGTGGCTCCTGCCTGACTTTCTAGTTTGGACTAGAAAATCAGAAAATAATTTTGTCTCGTACAAGTCTTATAATTGATATTTAACACACTTCTCGTTGTCAAATCAATCTGAAATTATGCATACTTGCGTAAAGTCAGAGACAATGCATGTATCAAGTGACAGAATAAATAATTTTGAGAATTTTTTTTTAATTTTATGAAGAAAATTTAAAAATTGATTTTTGTAATTTTTGATAACAAAATTAGAAATTCATTGTCCATGTGTAACATTGGAGACATTGGGTTCTTTGGAAGTGTTGTCTTTAAAAAGTAATTTTTAGATGCATACTATTATTTTTACCATTAGAATAATTAGAAATAGGCTGGATCTGGCTAGAAATTTGCTATGTTAGAAAACTTGATAGCAATGCCATTGATGATGGTGTGAAACTGTGAACACTGTGGTGTGTGGTGTTGTGAACACTGTGATGCGTTCACACAACAACACACAACTATGTGATGGTGTGAACACTGCAGATATTGATTGCATGTTACTTATGACCAAATGTCTGTAAACCAAAATTATTTGATATTTTTTACTTTCCATTTCTTATTTATTAAATTATGTAAGAATTTTCTTCATTGCTATCAGAAGAAATAAAAACCATAATCTGATAGCAACACCAATATGTAGTTAATCTCATATTACAGGTGCCTTCAACAGGCTTGGGAAATTCTTTTGTTGTATTAATATTCCATCCCTGCAGAGGCAACCAGGGAGCGGGGAAATGGTTGTGATTGGTAAATTTTTGAGGGCAGTAAGGCCACACCACCATTTACTTCGGTCATCCACAGCATGTATATATGTCTATATTTGGGTCATGTTATACTATAGCATGACCATGTATACTATATATATACAGTCTATATACTCTAGTATAGAAAAGAGCATTTGAAAAGCTCATCTGAATAAACACTGCCCAGATTTTTTGCAAACATAATCAAGAGGTTAATTTTTATTTATCATATATGTATAACTAACATGCCCAATCATTATTAAAATTTATCATCTCAATTGTAATCTTTATTCATAGTGACAGTGACGAGCCAGAAATATGTGATGAGGTTCCTGCTGCGTCAGCTGCAGTGGTTGTCTACAACATTTCTCACACGTGTTCTCTCCAAATGCTGACCCAGTTGATCTCTTCAAAATGTGAGTTTATTGTAACTACAAAAGTAAAGTAAGAATGTCTTGCTTGAGATCTTTATCTTGAAATATATTTGATATTACTGAAACATAGGTTTGTGAGTTGATACTTTTTATAATTTGGTTTAAACATTGACATTTGTGGTGGTGAGTTCAAATATTGGAGAAATTAGTAGATGAAGCCATTTAGTATTTTAAATGTGAGGTACTATTAGTATAGTGTAATAATATCTTTCCACCAGTAATGCTTGTGGAAATCAACAACAGATGTAATTGCTGTTCTTAAACTGATTTTACTGATTTTCTTTAGCATATTATGAGATCTTTTTCTGTACAGATTTCTCTATTACTATGAACTTCAAAAACCAAGGTTCAAACTCAGTGCTTGAAACCTACATGGCAAAAGTATTAATCCCAATAACATAAATTATGTTGAAGGTGATAAAAAAAGAAATTTGACATGATACAAAAACTCCCAATGCTGTCTGATTCTTGTAAATATTTTATTCTAGCTTGTTATTTCCCATTGCATTATATGTTGTCGAATCCACTCTGCATGCACCTTGTTTCATTTTTGTAGGATTGATAACAGAAATTGGAAAATTAGAAGTTGTACTTTATTGTTACATTTCATTATTTATGCTTCCATTTTCTTGTTGCATGTGATAGGTACACAGTTTCATGTACAAGATGCTCCGTAATAATAGTATGTTCTTCAAGCACTACTGTTGCTGATGTCCTATGTTTACTATCTATTTATCTCTACAGTGAAACCAGGATCAATGCTGGAGAGCATTGATGGCATTTATGACCGTGCAGCATTGGTCCATATTAAGCCTGCAGATCAAGTTGAGATGATAGTAAATGCTTTGCATCATCTCCGAGTTGGTGACCGCCACTTGATTGTAAAACGGGTAAATACTGCTTTTATTTATGCATCAGATACAAATTTAACCTGTTTATAACTTTTTCTTTCCTTACTACTGCTGTTATGAGAAATGTTTTTATCATATTTTCATGGTTTGAATTATTTTTCTATTGTTCAAAAATTAATGAGATGCATTAAAATATCTCTGAATTTTAAAGTTGGTAGAATGATGAGGCTAGACTTGCACATTTTTTTTATAAAATATGGCTGTTTCTAACTAGCAAATATTCTGAAGTGCATTTCTGCACAGTGCTCTGCCATTCCTTTACAATGCTTACATTGTTCACCCATTCCAAACAGTGCTTACTTTGATCACCCATTCCAAACAGTGCTTACTTTGATCACCCATTCCAAACAGTGCTTACTTTGTTCACCCATTCCTAACAGTGCTTACTTTGTTCACCCATTCCTAACAGTGCTTACATTGTTCACCCATTCCTAACAGTGCTTACATTGTTCACTCATTCCTAACAGTATTATTTCATTCACCCATTCCTAACAGTCTTACTTTGTTCACCCATTCCAAACAGTGCTTGCTTCATTCACCCATTCCTAACAGTGCTTACTTTGTTCACCTATTCCCATGAACAGTTTTTTGATTTTAAGAAACTTTTGAAAACTGAGACCTTCCACCTCTTTGGTGACGTTCATCTTGACTTTTGATGCAAGATAGCTAAATAGCTCAAGCGCTAGTAAACATTTGGCAACTAAACTTACTAACCCCCTCCTAACAATGCTTACTTTGTAAACCCATTCCCAACAATCTTACCTAGTTCACCCATTCTGAACAATCTTTGTTCTCAATATCCTCTGCCTGGTACCTTGACAGATGGAAGCTGAAGATCAAGAAAAGTTTGCTACTATGAAGAAAAATTCTGAAGTTTCATGTAATGGCACTAAAGAGTTAATGGGAGATGGTTCTTTGCCTTTAATCCCTGTCACCATTAAAAATGTGAACCGTCGCCTCAAAATTGAGATGGTTAACAAGATTCTCAATAAAAAAGGTGAGAACTCTACTGCCGTGAGCTGGAAAGTAATCTAGTCATAGAAAATATTCCGTTTATGTAGGTGTTCCATTTTTTGCTTGTAGTATTAATAAAAATATTTTGTGATATGAATCAAATGCTTGCAATTTAGCCTGTTTTTTTTTGGATTTACATAGTTCATCATGAATTGTATTGCAATTCTTTACTTTATTCTTACTCAGTTTTTCTGTTAACCTGACTACAAGCACTTGTCTAGCAAAAATGATCAAACAAGTAGATCAATTGTAAATATGGTATATGTCAATGTTGATTGTTTATTGACAAAATCGAGAAAAATTATTAGTTGTCTATTCTGGTGATAAAATTATGGACAAAATTTTGCCCAATATTTTTATGTGTAAATAATGTGTAGTGAGCTTCACAAGCTGTTTCTCTGAAATGTATTTTTCTACAGCTCGAGGTATTTACCACATTGCTATGGAGCCAATTTCATTATCAATGCGGGATTTTGGTCTCCACCACAATGGAACTGGCATAGTTTATTTCACTTCTGAAGAGAAGGCCATGGCTTTTTATACCTCTTGTAACTCAACCATCATTTCTGGCAGAGCTTTGGCCATCATAAATCCTTTGAAGGTTTGTTCTATCTTTGATCTGGGAGTTGTGGAAAACTCATAAGTTAATGGGCAGGAAGTATTATTCAGGTTAAGTTATCAAGTTTATAATTTTGACTTATAAGTTAATAGCATTTATTATTATTGTTGAAGGGACCATCTTTTGGTCTATGGATACATCAAGCATCTCCAGTGCTAGTATATGTCTTAAGGCTTAGAGAACTGTCAGTAGGCTAAGGGTTAACTTTTTTTTTATTTCACATTCATTCCATTCTTCTGTTTATATTTTCTTGCATTATTAATGACCATGAAATAATTATATGCAATTTGAGACATTATGAGATATTGTAGATCAGTTCATAAATTAAATTGAATAGCTAACCATAGTTTGAAATTTTATTCATTAAACCTGTTCAATTTAATATTCTGTGTATAACTTTTGAACTTTCTGTGATTGGTATGTGCAACAACTAGCAATTATTAACTCCTGTATCTTAATTCCACTCATTATTCATTGTTATTTATGTATTGTGTTATTCAGTGTTTTTTCTACTTTTCTGCGACGGGAAATAATTAGTGTGTAATAATGATATTACAATGCTAGATTTACCATATCTTTGTCTTCAGCAGGATTCTGTTGATCGAACAACAATTTCAACTGAGAACCAAAATTCCTCTGTAAACCAAATTCATGAAATTTCTTCTGGCCCCCATGTCAACCCTCAATCCAGTTTTCCAAGCAAAGTTCTTCGCATTTCAAATGTGCCTCCAGAAATATCAGCATCAGAGCTCAAGGAATTATTTTTTAGTGAGAGTAAGTCTGCTGTTATATATGATGTTCTTTGACAAGTTTACTATCCAATCAATGAAGAAAAAAATTTTTTTAGTCCTGATTAGAAGAAACGACGAGTTATTTTCTTATCATTTGTGGCTAGAAAGAGATCAGTAATGAAGTGCTGACAATACTTTCACGAAGAATAAGTAGGTACTTTCATGAACAAGTATTTTGTGTCAATGTCAGAGATAACCATAGGGAGCAATAATATCTGGGTGAGCAATGATCAGGGCTGTTTATTTTAATATTCATCACTGTTGCTCTACTGGATGAGAAATATTGATTAAAATGAGTTTTTTCAAGGAATGCAATGAGATTAATTTCCTAGATCTTGATTCACTTAGGTTCACTGGAAAATTGGGGTGTGAACTGAATGAAATTTGCCATGCTGAATGTGTGGTTTCGAAAACTTTTTGCAAGAGCATCTTGTTTGTGTAGCATGGTATTTATGCTTCTAAAAAATTTGAACACAGATGCATTAAGAAACCGGTGCTGGTGAGATTAGGCTGTTGGAGTGCATGAAACATGATCTATTGAAAAACTATACTCTTGGTGTTGGATATTATGACATATTTGACTGTATTACTCATGAGAGATGCTACTTTTTGTTCTCTTTGTAATTCCTTTAATGTTGAAACTCATGATTTTGTGACGGATTTTGTGATGACACTCTTTGTTCCAGTGGAAACGACCGCGCGTGTGGAGCTTGGCAAGAGTAACACGGCCCCTCACTCAGGCTCGGGGACCGTAGAGTTCCAGAGCTGTGAACTGGCCAAGCGGGCCCTGGAGGTCATGGATGGGGCTAAACTGGGCTCCTCCAGCATTGTATTGACCATGGTGAGTGGTGTGCTCGAGCATTGTATTGACCATGGTGAGTGGTGTGCTCGAGCATTGTATTGACCATGGTGAGTGGTGCCCTAAAATATTGTATTGACCATAATGAGCGACTCTCCTGAATATTATATTGACTATGGTTTGATTATTTTTAATTCATTTATACTTCCTTTTAGGATACAAAGCTCTTTGTTTTTGTATAATTAGCAGAAACTTTTAATAAAATTCTGAGGCTTTATTGGTTAGTTTGAAATCTCCCGCTGATTATTCACAGTTATATTTTAGGATGATAGACTTTCTTAACATTGCCAGTGTGAATAATTATTTATGCTCAATGCACATTGATAATTTCCTGTCACTTAACCATCGAAATGTTTCAGTATTGCCTCTCTTTTAGGTTCCCTCAAATGACAACAGAGAATTGAAAAATGGTTTGAGTTCGAAGGAAACAAGTGGAAATAATCTAAAGGAAAAACCAAGTACTGGCGCTGGAAAACACCCTGTTATCTGCATAGAACCAAATGGAGACAAGACGCAGGAATTCCAAGTTACGAGTGGAGGTTCACATGGTTCAAACTTTGGCAGTGGTACGCTGAAAACTTCAGGTTACAAAAAGAAGTGGAAGAATAAAAAGGATATTAAAAACCGTTTAGGATCACAGACCGAAACACAATTTGTTTGTGTAATACCACACTCAGGCGCTGGACGCATTACTCGGACATTCTCCAGAGTGTTGATCTGCCAAGACCTCGATGAATTCTGGCAGCGAATACCTCTTCCTGAACACCGCCTGCGTGTTTCAAACATCCCTTGCAGCATGAGCGAGGAGGACTTTGTTACGCTCATCAGTGATGCAGGTATGTTGGGTGATGTCATAATGCTCATCAGTGATGCAGGTATGTTGGTGATGTCATAATGCTCATCAGTGATGCAGGTATGTTGGGTGATGTCATAATGCTCATCAGTGATGCAGGTATGTTGGGTGATGTCATAATGCTCATCAGTGATGCAGGTATGTTGGTGATGTCATAATGCTCATCAGCGATGCAGGTATGTTGGGTGATGTCATAATGCTCATCAGCAATGCAGGTATGTTGGTGATATCATAATGCTCATCAGTGATGCAGGTATGTCGGGATCTCATCAGTCACGTGCTATGCATTTACTAACAACTTATCAGTCCTACTTAGTGTCTGTCGCAGCGAGTAACACACACAGACTCCAACAGGCATGTGTATTTGTGCATTTCAAGTACCAGGCCGATACCCAGAATAGGATAGTAGATGAGTTGTGATTATTTAGTATTGAATTATAAGAATAAATCAACACATTAACTTTTGTGCGCTCAGTTTATTTTACTTTGGCTCTCCATTCGTTGTAAATCCATTTGGTTTTGTTGTATGGATAGTTTTTTTATTAAGTTTTTTATCATAAACTGTGTTGAAAGTACCTATGTTTTCAAAATACAATAAGAGAATACTTGAGTTTACTGTTTTATACATTCGTTTTGAATGTCCAATTTCCAATATCCTGTCGCCTACAATGATGTACGTATATTTCCAGGCTGTATCGGCGTGGCGGCGCTGGTGTTCCACTACACCAATGAGGATTTTTTTCGAGGAGTGGGTGTTCTTGGCTTTACTTCGGCACTGAACGTGAGAAATGCCATCGCTAAATTGAATGGACTTAAAATTCACGACAAAGAACTGAAAATTGAGACAGAAGTTGCAGAAGTTTCACAGCTTCCAAGCCTCTTCGATGTCTCATCAGAGTCGGTGACTGGTGACAACTTTGTGGCATTTGGGTGTGAAGAAGCTCAGAAAACTGATCCCGAAGATTGCAGGGAAATCATAACTCGAGCGAGAGCTCAATCTCAAATAACAACGTTTAATGGGATAATTAATGCACCCCCGCCTACTTTCAGGAAAACTCTTCTCGCGACTCCTAACTTTCAACATGCCCTCTTACCTGATCCTTACCCTCGCCCGGACCAAAGCATGGGTCAAGGCCTCTTACCTCCACCTTTCCCCATTAATCCTTTTCCAAACAACACTTTCCAAACAAACCCTTTCCCGAGCAACCCTATGATGGAAGGAGCAATGGTTCCTGTCCCTGTTCCAAGTATCCCTCCTATCGTGAACCAAAGCTTTGATGTCGCCTCTGAAATGCACATGTCTCCTCCTGAAATGCACATGCATCCCCCTGAAATGCACATGCCTCCTCCTGAAATACACATGCATCCCCCTGAAATGCACATGCCTCCCCCTGAAATGCATATGCCTCCCCCACCGAATTTAGTTTCATTAAACGAGAAATCATCAGTTCCAAATTCAACTGAAATTCCATTTTTCTATGGAAATCAAGTACCAACTTCAAGCTCTGGGGCACAGTTCATTTTTCCAGTGCGTGAGTCGCATATAGAAGTAGACTTATCAAAGATCAACAAAACTCTGAACCCAGCCCCTCCAATGATATATTCCAACAGTGGAACTGGTCTCAACAACACTGCATTGAACTTTTCCTTGCCTAGTGACCTGGGCACTTCCATCGTTTCTGTTCCGCCTTACAGCGTGAATTCGACCAACAGTGGCATAGTTACAATGAACTCGACCAACAGTGGCATAGTTACAATGAACTCGACCAACAGTGGCATAGTTACAATGAACTCGACCAACAGTGGCATAGTTACAATGAACTCGAGACCTGCGGCTGTCACTTCTTTGTCTGGCGTTCCTCTCGTCAACGCGCCGTTCATCGCAGCGCCTGCGCCGGTCGCCAGCACCAGCAACGTTCCCAACATTTCCACTGTGTCAACGATGCCAGGAGCAAATATGACAGGAAATACAATGCCAGGAGGAAATATGATGATAGACGGAAATATGATGCCTACAGCAAATGCAATGGCAGGATTGGTGAGTATTTTAACACTGTTATTGAGGCTATGCTTACTATTTAGTTTTTTTAGAAATTGGCCGATCGTAACCTTCAAGTGATCGGTACTGAATGCACTAGATTTTATTAATTTAATAATACTCTATTGTCTTATCATGAACTGTTAGCTGCAAAAAATTTTTTATCAAGAATCTTAACAACATGTTGACAAGCATTCTTATCTAGTTTTTGCCCTAGTTTGTTGGCTTTAAGTTTTTGCCTCCATTTTTAGATACCAGCTGTAAAAAACATATATTTATGATCATCCTCTCTCCTCAGATACAAAACCGACTCGCTCCTCCGACGAAAGTTATTCAAGATCGACTCTCATATCCTGAGTTCAGCCATGAACAGCAGCCGAAGAATGCTCTGATGTCTCAGCAGCCTCCTCCTGTGAATTTGTCCGTGCCCCCAGGAATACCAATGGAGACTCAGGTTTTACCACAACCATTTCGCAGCTTGGTCCCACAAGGACAAATTATTATGGAGCCTATGGAGGATCAACAGCAGCAATTGATAACACCTGTGCCACAACAAGCGGTCCAACATCAATCGGCAAAGCAACCGAAGTCGCGAAAACCTTCAAGGTTTCGACCCCAATTCCAAAATTCAAATCAAAAACAAAAACCTTCACCACAACTACAGCAAGAACAAAAATCTGCTCAACCCATCATCGACAATACTGAGAACAAAGACGATGCAGAACTGTTCGGTTTGACGACTGCCTTTCTCGATTCCCTGGGCGTGAAGCCACCGCTTGTGTCAGAACTTCTAGTGTCCAAGGTTATTTTATTTGTGGTTTAATTCATGTGATGTAAAAATGCTGATGATTTTGATATACTTTTGAAAACTTCCCGCGCCCATTCATATGATCTTCGAACTTCAAACTTCAACTCGTATGAATTATCATCAAACAACAAAAATATTGCAACGTTATCAGCTAGTCGACTTGTTCTACAGTAAAGATCTGAAATTCGAATTCATTCGAACTTGGCCTCTTTTCCTAAGAATTATAATTCTAGCCGAGAAGGTTCTAGCTCTATTTGTGTGCCTGAGGCTTGTCATGTCAATCCTTGACAAGCCAACTCTTAGTTCTGTTCGTGTGCTTTTTACTTGTCACTACAACGACTTACTAATCATTAAATTAAAATGTGCCTCAAACTCTACAAATGTCCGTAGAATATGGCATTGTATTTATAACTGTATTTAGGTCGTCTTCAAATAAATAAATATTATACGACCTAAATAAAAATTTAGGTCGTCTTCAAATAAATAAATATTATACGACCTAAATAAATATTTAGGTCGTCTTCAAATAAATAAATAGTATACGACCTATATAAATATTTAGGTCGTATTCAAATAAATATATGATATCATAGGTCTGCTCAAATTGCAAGTTCACTGAACTGCTGATGAAATGCTTGCAGGTGGATAAGAAAGCCAGCGAGCAGGACGTGCGAGATCTGTTCAGCATGGCAGGCAGCGTGGTGAGCGTGCAGCACAACCGTATGCTGCACATAGATCTTGTTGGTGAGCTATTCTCCTTCTTTTTTTATAAAGCTCCTGGGGGCTATAGATATACCATAACTATCTTAAATTCTATACGTAACCAGGGGCCTGGGGCCATACTTTCAAAACTCGCCAAGTTAACGTAAGTACTTACGCTCTATTTTCTTGTCTATGATTGGTGGATTTTGCTTGAAAGGCCGTCAATGATTGGCTGATGAACTTACGATCTCTTAACTTCTTTTGAAAGGCTTTGAATGTATGGTAATGGTTTTGTAATGAAAGGTTTTGACTGTAGACAAGGAGTTGAACTTCTGGCTACGGATACGTTGACAGCGGTCAATACAATTCGTAATGGCTTGGCTTGGTAATGACAGATTTCGTTAGTAGACGGAAAGTTTATCATTTAGCTACGGAGAGCAGTCGTCAGTGCTATGCGTACTTTGCTTAGTTATCCATACCTTGAGTCTAGCTTTCCGTCAGTTCACACGGTTTACGTACACTTAGTTTCGATAGTTGTTGCTTATGCTGGATGATTGACCATCTACGCATTGAATTAGTTACAAGATTGATTTCATATTTTATATTAACCTTTTAATCAAGTAATTTAAAACAATTTCAGGGTATCTTCAATATTCTTCTGCTAATAGTGTTCATGTATTTGAAGCATCAACTGTTGTTTTACTATAATGGTCGCATAATATGTGAGGTTTTATGGAGTGGTTCTCGAACATTACAACCACTTTTCGGTAGAAAAAAGCAACGTATATAATATAAGCTTATTGTTTTGTTGCAATTTTGAATGTAAGAATATAATTACGTGTACTGCGCATTCGAAATAAATTCTTATTTGTTTTTAGTGCGGAGTAATAGAGTATCTGAGCTCACAATTTATAATAAACCAATTACACAACTGATTCCTATAATTTAATTGTCCACTATTTCATAATTCATACAATGTAATTCCTGTTGTAGTCTTCTATTAACTAATGCGTTACACAATTTATGGGATATGATCTCACAATTGTTCGTCATGCCGTTCCTATAAAAGTTTTGATTTTAATCCTTGTGGCATTCACTGCAGAAATGTCGTCACCAGTTGAGGCGGTGCAGGCGATATCGATGCTGCACGGTCAGGTTTACTTTGATTCCACCCTGGACGTTCAGATGCTTCGGCCCGACGACCCTCGGAAAAACTTTTTCCCTAGGAAGCTGCCCGCCACCGCGCCTAGAGGCCTCAGGACTATCGGCAAAGGGCTTGGTCCCAATGGGTTGCCTCTACCTCTCGGGAATTCGGGAGCAGGGATTAGAAATCCAGACATGCCTGAAATTGTCAAGCAGTCATCGATACCCGAGGAAGGTAGTCTCCCACATTCAGCTCCTTCGTATGAATTACCCGCCACCTCCGCCAGATCACGGCTGGTAGCCCCGATAAACGCGAGAAAAAATGTTTGTAATCAAGGCTTCGTGAGTAAAGCTGCCCCGTCGCGTGAGAAAGACGTGAAGGCACTTCTGGAGCAAAACATAGCCAAAATTGTGCGAGAAATTGAGGGACGCCGACGACATGAAGATGGTGTGCCCTCTCAGTCACTCTCCTCGTCGAATTCGCGTAAGCCGATGACCAGAAATACGACGGTTCAATATAGCGATGAAAGTTCTGACCGGTCTCATCACGAACAGGATTCTGGAGATGACCGTAGTGGCTCAGATTACGAGTACACAGATAGCCGTCACAGCAACGACCGCAGCCAAGATCGTTCTTGCCGTTCTCGCCTCTCTAGAGATCGAAAAATCGAACATAGGTCTAGCTACGAGAGGAGAAAAAGCCGCAGCAGCTCTCGAGAAAGATCGAGGAGTCGTACTGATCGAGATCAATCTCGACCATCCCATAAAGGTCTAAGGTATCGGGAGATGCCTCCTTGTAGAGTGGGAGCAACTTGGTATGTGTCTGAGCGTCGCTATGAGGAGTTTTACGACTCTGTGAAAAGACGCAAGTCCAGTCACGACCACGAATCCCGGTACCCCATGGAAGAACGAAAGTCAAGTCGCACTCGTGAATCTCGATACCCCATGGAAGAACGGAGGACAAGTTACCACCACGAATCTCGGTACCCCATCGAAGAACGTAGATCTAGACACGCTCACGAATCCCGATTCGAAGAACGAAAGTCAAGTTTCTCCCACGAATCTCGATACCCCAGAGCAGAACACGGCGGTGCTGACGTGCAAGCTTCCTTCCCTACGCACGCTTCGTATGAGCAGCGTCAGTTTGCTGCGGAATCTGGAGTGGACCCGCCGCCTGGGACGGCTATCATCATTGCAAATGTGAGTTAAATGTTCATTAAAGAGTAAGTAATGAAACTAATGATTTACCTAATTTGAAGACGACTGTAAACGAAGAATTTATCAAATTTTGCCCCTTATACTGTGTTTGATTTGTGATCTTTGGATTCTGATATACTCTTGAAAGTCTCCCATCATTTAAGAAGAAACTTTGTCAGTTCAGAAAGATTTTAAACCTTATTTAATAAATTTTTACCAGTTAGATATTTTCAGAGATAAATCTTTATCACACCGAATCGTTGCCTTACAAGATCTTAGTAGCACATGATAACTTATGCCAAGAAATAGTATAGAACCGCGGCAAGAGTATATAAGAGGGTTGACTTGATATCTTCTTTCAGTTGCCCCACGACACGCGCGTGGAGAGCTTGCACGAGCTCTGCTCCCCGTACGGACTCGTCAAGAGCCTCAAGCTGAACGCCGCGCAGCGCATCGCTCAGGTCGTCTTCAATAACTTCCTAGAAGCTTCCATGGCTGCTGGTAACGCTGTATTCTTTAATCTTTTGAGAATCTTTCTTTCTTTAAACTCTTGAGAATCTTTCTTTCTTTAATCTCTTAAGAATATTTCTTTCTTTAATCTCTTATTCGTTAACAGTGGAAGTGCTTTATTTCAAAATATTGATATAGAGTTCATCGCCTGGTGGGTTAATTTCTCTTTGAATCACATTCAACTGGTGCAACTCATCATGATGAAATAAAGAAATCTGCTGAAAATTCTTAATACGAGTCTTTTTCTAATTTTCTCATCTAAACGCATTGTAATGACTTTCCTAAACGAGTTATTTCAGAAAGCTGGTCTGCAGTTCATCGCCTGATGTGCTAGTCTGTTATCTCTTTATTATCCACTGCATTTCCGAAAGATACTAACTTCTTTACTAGTCAAATCTTGTGGACAAAACTGACGTTATTTTGTTGTCAGATGTCCTCAACAATCAAGACTTCGCTGGCTCGAGGATCTCGTCCGTGGTGGTCTAAGCAAAGCCTTCTCCATCACTTCAGTGGCAAGTTTGTGATCACTTATTTCCATCAAACCATCTTTATAAATTATTGATCTAGTTAGGGAATTTAATGATGTCGCTTTTAGATGCCATCGCTTCATCGAAAGTGTATTTGATTAATAAAATTAATTTTCCCCAAGAAGAATAAAGCACTCAAGTAATGTATCGTTTCAGGTAATATAATTTCGCACAGAATTTTCACCAAACAGGGTGTGGGGGTAAATGTTATCAGATTTTATTTATGTGGTAGATGCTTGAATTTTTTTTACTGGAACTTGTCTTGAAATAAAGACAAGAATTTTTTTTGTCTTTGGAATTTGGTTTTGATTTTCGGTGATCTTTTCACAGGCAGGGATGCTCGACTGCAACGTCGCCTACAAGATCTCCGTCTCTACCCTCAGATTGTCATAAGTGTTTTGCATTGAATTTTCTTCTCTGAAAGAAGACCGGAAACAAATATTGCTCCTTTCAGAACTGATACGAAGTTCTTCATAAGGCGTCTGTTTTTGGGACTGTATTAAGTGTACATAAACTTAAGTTTTAAGACTTTTTGCCGCTCATATCCCGTGGAAATTATGGGAATTTCTGATCATTTCCAGTACTGATGCTTACACTCTTCGTTTGCTGGGGGAAGATATTTATATTGTTGTCTTGACAACATATTAATATAATATTCCTCTTCTTGATATTCTACGTTGTGGTTCCCCTCTATGTCTCCTCATCAGCGATCTGCATAACATTATTTCCCTTCAACATCAATATTACTTGAAGCTCGCTCATCAATATACGTTTGTAAATGAATATAATTTTTGGCCACTCCTCACTTTGAAATGAGTGGAAGCTCTAAACACCTCTTGCTCCTGTCGCCCCAACACAAATGTTGTGAACTGTTGTCCTATTTCTCGTATCTGACATCAGGTACCGTCGTGTTTTTTTACATTCATAGTTGAAGACATCAAATTACACAAAGTTTTTCAGTAGAAAATCAAAATCTAGTTGGCGAAAAAAGTTGAACATTTTCATAGCTTTATTTGCCCGGCAGAACCTATTCTGCCAATCGAATATTCCTAGAGCTTGGCTGCAAGTAGAATTCTGACACTACGACGTTCTGCACAATGCTGAACTGAGAATCCTTTTCTCATGAACTATTCAGCATGCAGTTGGCGTACGGAGCTCTGCACTGCACGTGAAATTTTTTTCGTTTCCCCACCTGCCATCTCTCTAATCCTTTATCCGTGAGATTGCCGTCACTCTGGGCAGAACAGGTTTAACATCATTTTTCCTCCTCTCAACATTACCTCAAATCGTATTTGAATTCTCTACAGCGTCGACTCCCTTCATGCCCCGAACACTTTCTGGAATGCACTGGAGGGCTCTTTTATTTGTGCTACAGCACTGGAAATAGAAATGATGCATCTGCTCCTGTGTACTGTCCTGGAGCATTTGCTATATCGCTATAACAAATGTTCTGATTCTTGAGCTGTTTTTCATCGCTACTTTATCGTGTGTCATGCAAACCACAACGTCTGAATAGTTAACTTATGAGGCAAGCAGTTCCTTTCTGATCAGAAAATAATTTGTTTCAGACCAGCCATAAAATTCCTGTCTGATCAGCAACAAAATTCCTCTCTGATCGGCAACAAAATTCCTCTCTGATCAGCAACAAAATTTCTCTCTGATCAGCAACAAAATTTCTCTCTGATCAGCAAAATTTCTCTCTGATCAGCAACAAAATTTCTCTCTGATTAGCCATAACATTTTTTTCCTGATCGTCAATGCAGTTCCTTTCCGTCACATTCCAATTCTCGTGTTATGGCAAGACACTGGCCACAGCTGGTCCAAGATATTATCTTGAGATCAGATTAATTTATGATAATTGGCGCAGTTTATAATTCCAACTAAAACTGACAATGCTGAGCAGTTCAATAGGCTTTTGTCTATATTAGGCTTCTGTCTCTATAGGTTTCTGTCTCAGTAGGCTTCTGTCTCTATAGGCTTCTGTACGGAGTTTATGGATCGCCGTATAAAACTTTCTCTATAAGCTTCTGTTGTAAATGAAACGTAGGTTTTCAAATTGAAGTTGGTCTTAGTGTCTCCTTCTTCACGGATAAGCGTTCCATTCGCTTTCTTACTGTTACTTCTGATCTTTCTCTTATTTTCAGAGGCCGTGAATACGGGAAAAAATCTTCAGTGGTCTGGCAAGTTTTGCCGTTCACTGTTATTCTGTAATACTAGTTTTCTCTTTCACTGATATCCTGCATTACCATTTTTCTCGTTCATTCGTATATTGTTCTGTCATTCTTCTCGTATGTACTGCCAGTTAGTAATTTTGACCCTACCTCCATTTCGGGATGTTTATATTCTGACTTTGACAACCATTTCTATTCAGTGGTTGTTAGTAAACTCGTTCTTAAGGCATCTACATATCAAATATTTCTCCATATTCATTATTCTTCGTCCACACATCGACCACGTTATGCGAATATTTATCTTTCGCTTTCCCTTGTGCTTGCTTCTATCTCTTGTTCAACATACCAATCACATTAATTAACATTAATTTTTTATATACATATATAATCTGACATTTATTGGTACATTTTAAGACTGATTAATAAGGGCGTCTATTCATGACGATCCTACTGTCCTGCTCAACCTTATCTTTAACCTTCAACCCAAAGCCCGGTTTAGCATGGGCCGTATCAACTGACACGGATTGTTGCTGGGCCCTCCTGAGGCTTGGCCTCTTCGGAAGACGACTATTTATATGACCGCCGGAGCCGAATTTCCTAAATATTAAGACGCTCTCCAGACCTTGCCGTCTTCTGGCCTTGGAGTTTAGAGAGTAACCATTCAATCTAGATTTTGTCTTCATCCCGACTTTGATGTCTTTACTCATACGATTACAGCAGTAACACGCTTTGGGAAAGCATATACGTGGCTTGTGAATTCAGGTACTGAATTCACATACGTGTACAGGTACTGAATTCACATACGTGGCATGTGAATTCATAAACGTGGCTTGTGAATTCAGGTACTGAAGTGTATTTCTAGCTGTAATCTATTTGACTCTAGTGAACTTTCGAACTTCTTTGAATACATATACTGTTTTTCCTGCTACACGCATATTCGGTTACACGATTTATCTCCCCCGATTCTCAGGACATATATCTGTACACGTTTAAATTGTTGAATCACGAGTCAGTTATTAGTTATTACCAATGTTGCCAGGGTTATTACCCTGAATGACTATTAACCTAGCAATGGTGGGCGTCTTCCTGTCATGTATAAGGCACTGAAATTCATGATCTCATGATCCCTACGAATTATCACTGCGGGATTGATATTTACTGCTTCAGCTTTAGTCTCACCAACTGCATAGAAGTACAATTCTTCAAAATGAAATGTTGCCAATTATTTGGCGCTTCTCTCCCGCTATCATTTGCCTTTTTTGGACAATTTTCTGTCATAATGTTACTCAATTTCGATGCTGGTAATACACTTCTTCGATGCTAATGCTGTTAGCTATTAATACCCTCTGGAGTATATGGATCTGCATTCTACACGCCATTTCCAGCTTTATTCACTCTTTGCCGCAGCGTGTAGTCGTGGCTCTTTTGTTATTTCTCTACTATGAAGTATGAAAGCCCACATTATTTTCGTGGACAAGTTTCCGTTACTTTATGAGCCTTTGATCCCGCCCCTAGAAGTGTGCTCCGTATCGTGTGTGCATGGATTCCCATGGAGAGCTGTGGTGGTGCAGTGATGAGAGACTCAGTCTCTCGCACCCAGCTCCCGGGATCTCTGTCTCTCGCACCCAGCGCCCGGGTTCTCTGTCTCTCGCACCCAGCGCTCGGGTTCGAGTCCCACTGAGGACAAGTTCTTCCGGGAAGCTCAGCTCATGGTCAACTCAGCCATTCATCCAACTCTGGTTGATAAATGAGTACCTGGCTTGTCCAGGGTGTTGTGTAATGCAATAAAATGGTTCTGGCGGGTCAGCGAGCCAGTGAACTGCCAGTGGCCCCAAGTGTCCGGAAAAACTTACTTATCACTCCCTCCCTTCCTAGTCGCTACTACAACGATGGGCAATTACAACAACACGGATTCACAGGATTGACTTCATTTCGAACTCAGTAGGTACTCATTTTCCCGGAGGCTTGGAACATCTTTCGTTGTAAGTCCTGGAAACATGTTGTTTTCTTCGCATTTCGAGATCAGCATGTTTGCTTATCAGACATTTTATTCATCATTTCTGCTATGTTTTGTCTCGTAGTCACAGCTCGTAGACCAGCCTGACTTCTACACGTTAGATTTCCTACACGTAAGTTTCGTACTAATGTTTCTATAGACTTTTGAAGCAGAAATATCATATTTTTCGCACTGGCTTCAACGAACTAGACTGGATCTATTTGAATGCTTAATCGCCGAAGAAGAAGAAGAATTTCGCTCTCATTGATACTTCTCCCTCCTCCCCCCCTCCCAAAAAAATCCAATCAATTGGGAAACGCAACAATTTTTATGACCTAATTGAATCTGAAGAATCGTACCCTCTTTTATTAACAATTAAAGCGACTCAGGCCACGACGCCTGTTTCCCCTGGCTAGCTGGAGGCTGGAGCGGCTCATAGCACGAAGTCTCTCTTTCCCCTTAAGATCTCCCAGGTAACAAGTAGGGATCCCCAAGAGTTCCTTTAGATCAAGAGCCTCCAAACTTTTTTCACCTAGGTCCAACAGCAAGTTTTCTGAAATCTTCGTGGCCGGTCACGCACATTTACGGTTTTTAATTCATAAATAACCAGAAATAAACGACACGCTCGATTTTTGTACACATTATGTTGAACTACGAGATATCCTCGGCGGACCGGATGTAACTTAGCCTTGGGCCGGAACCCCGTCCGCGGCCCGTAATTTGGAAGACACCTGGGTTAGAGGAACCAACCCCGAACCCCGTCCGCGGCCCGTAATTTGGAGACACCTGGGTTAGAGGAACCAACCCCGAACCCCGTCCGCGACCCGTAATTTGGAGAGCCCTGGATTATAGGAACCAACCCATGGCCATGCTGAAGCATCTCGCATTCACGGCGACCAAGCGACGCCGAAATAAATTGATCTTCCCAACGCCCAAACTCACGACTAGCTCCTCTGATCTCCGTGCCGCCATACTGCGCATACAGTCGCGTCCCTGACTGGCTGGAGTGACATACCGCAGAGCCTTTGTTGGCCCTGNCTTATACCACGACGCCTCTGTTTCCCCTGGCTGACTGGCTGGAGGCTGGAACAGCTTATACCACGACGCCTCTGTTTCCCCTGGCTGACTGGCTGGAGGCTGGAACAGCTTATACCACGACGCCTCTGTTTCCCCTGGCTGACTGGCTGGAGGCTGGAACAGCTTATACCACGACGCCTCTGTTTCCCCTGGCTGACTGGCTGGAGGCTGGAACAGCTTATACCACGACGCCTCTGTTTCCCCTGGCTGACTGGCTGGAGGCTGGAACAGCTTATACCACGACGCCTCTGTTTCCCCTGGCTGACTGGCTGGGGGCTGGAGCGACTCAAACCGTCGACGATGTACTCATCAGTTTGGTTTTTGTCATAAACTCAGTGAATGCATAGTGTAATTGATGGTGAAATAGATCTAATAAAAGGAAATTCTAGCTTGATTCACGTGCAAGTATTTCTGTCATAACTTGTTACGAAAACTTCTTGCCTAAATTTGCTGTTCTTAAAAGTTTATCGTGCATCTGTAATTATAAAAAAAATCATTAGCGGTGAAAATTGACCGAAGAACTTTTCAGATAGCTATTTTTCAACTATTTACAATACTGTTATATGGCCTGAAAATAATGAAAGTAAAATTTTAGTGAATATTTTACTAATTTATAGATGTTGAAAAATACCAGTTGTCTTCACGTCCCTTCAGTTGCCTCGGTCTCACCGCGAACAGCGTAAAGGTGAGATTTGTGACTGTTAGAAACTATTGTCTATTTTGTAAGAGCCTGCGAGATGTACGTACCGTAGTCTAAGTTTCCAATATTCTTAGTATTGAATCAGTTTAATTCAATTTAAACTTTTGAAGATACTTTAAATTACAATGGAAAGTTTTCAGTTTTTAGTATTAATCTTGATTGATTTTGATGTTCACAAGCATGTGAGTTCCGCTACATTTTGATGCTTGCACTCGAAAAAATGAAAGAGTTAAATTGTCCAAATATTGACCCAGTATCTTACGCACGGCACGAGTATAGAACGGACACATGAAGAGTCTGCTCAACTCGAGAATGTTGACTGCTCATTGATTAACCATTATTTTGATTTTCTTCAATAGTAAAATAATGTTTCTATTCTTGTTTCAGAATTAACAAATTTGATGTTAAATTTTTGTGCAGGATACCGGCTAAAATGCAACCCTCTACAAGTTTTGTCGTATGACGTTGCTTTTTCTTCTTGCAAGTCATTTCGCATGCGGCAATTTTTTAATTTGATTCAGCCTCATGTTCAACGTATATTTCTTCTCACATGTACTTATATATATTTAATATTGTGCTGAGAAATCATGTAATATTAATATTATACTACGCTCAGCCTTCAAGATATTATTTTAGATGTCGTTAAAAAGTTTTAAATATATTTCAATGATAAATGTCATTTGAATAATTTTTTAACGTTGAAAACTTACTAACTCCAATAGAATTACCCACGAGAACGGAAGCAAACAATAACATTCCCAATGTTATTGTTTGCAAACAATAACATTCCCAATTATTTATCTCTTTGAGATAATTGATATCTCTCATGTTTTTTATTTACCGTATCTCTCTCTTTTATCTTATCTTTTTAATACTAATCGCATTGCGTGTGTTCAGCAGAGGCGCCTGGGACGCTTCGTGCTTACAGACTGGACCTCTGCGAAGAATTTTGGAACCCAGAATATTCTGGCCGCTGAACTCTTCCTGAAAACTTGGATCGCTGCTCATATCATTAAATTCCGGATGACTATATTTGATAACGCTGCCTCATTTGTTTCTTAGCGCTGGCAAGCTCAAGACCGTTAGAAAAATCTTACCACGGGAACAGCGGCTTCCCAGTTCTGTGAAATGGATCATTGAGGCTTTAATGAATTTTAGTTTGAGGAATTATGTAGCAGATGTTCTGGCAACATCAACCAAAGTATTGGACCTGTCTTACGGTTTGTTGATTCGTTGATCCTTACTAAAGCAAGCCGCTTGTGTTCTTGCTCTTGGATAACTTTCCTCCTCAGTTCTGCAGTTCTACTTTAATAAACCTGGACCAAGCCTAATGACCCAAACACCCAATTGGAAGTTACCGTCAATGAATCAATAAACTCATCCGTTTTAACCTGAACTAAGAGAAACATTATAATGGTGGCCAGTACGATTGTGGAATACTTGCATGAAGAGCTCAGTGTTACTATGTTATGACTGTTAGTGTTGAGATTAACTTGAGTCATCTTCTAAATTACAGTTCGAGAAAAAGGAAAAAGGAACTTACTTCTGAGTTTTGAGCAATGGAGGAGTAAATGTTCATTCGTGACGGAAAGGAATTAGGCTTCAGTGATAGTGCCTTGTTGAAGTACGTGACTGATCGGGTGAAGCGGGAGGAGGAGCGAATGAGGAGGGAAGAAGAGCGTCTAGAAAAGGAAGAGCGGCGAAGGAAAGAAGAGGCTGATCGAGAAAAAAGACTGCTTGCACGAGAAGAGAAGAAAAGACAAATATTTCCTAAATATCATTGCTTAAAAACAGCCATGCTTCTTCTATTGTTTGCTCTCTTGTTGCTATCTAAAGAGGGTGAAGCACTTATAGGTTATGATTGTCAGGCAAAAAATGCTTCATTCATCTCTGTAGCACTTGCTGATATAAAGCAATGCAATGAAGCTATAGGTTCCTTTGTGGAAGAAGAGATTTCAGGTCAGATCATCCAAATTCATCAGTATCAGCCTGTCCATGTATACTCTTGCCTTATCAGTGTCATCATCACCACAGAGTATTGCGGAAAATTAAATCGTATATCTGCTGAACCAAAAGGAATCACTTCTCACATAAAACATTTAGGTCCTTCCGCTTGTATGGATGCACATACTATTGGGACTGTAAACATTCATGGACAGCAATTCAATGGACTAAAGAAGAATTCGACAACTACAATCGACACTGTCTTGTCAGGTTCCGTAGATGATGGTGGTTACTGTAAAAATGGAGGAATTTTTATTCATGAAGATGGTACTAAATCTGAAGACAAGCTAGTTAGAGCTACAATGAAAATCAGTCTTTATGACCGTACTGAAACTCTTTCATTAGAAGCAGATAAGGTCATAGTTCGTTCTCTTGGTCTTGAATGCCCTGCTGATAACGGATATTGTGCTGATACATTAGTTGGAGAAGTTGTCTGGAAAGAACTAGACGGAGATTGCACTAGCAGAGTGGATGTTTTGTATGAAGGACCATTATCCTTAGTGACCTTTGCTCAATCAGCAATAGATGCTATCAAGATCATTATTGTATATACACGCAACCAAATGTTTGCTCTTAGAGTTTCTGGATTTGGATTAAAATGTGGACATCCAACGATGACAACTGAACATAAAAGGATTCATGTAGTTAAAAAGAGTGATGTTGGTATCTATGTGTTCAGTAGGTCTCCTAAATTCAACAACAATGTCGATCTGAAATCATACATTGATAGCCAATTTCTCTATGCTTCAACAGCATTTATAAAAGGCACGGATCAGATTGTCAGAGATTTCAGTAATGCAATGTGTCAAAATAAAAGAGAAATACTCAAAAAAAGGCTTGTCTTGTCTCAGTTGAGACCAGACCAAGTAGGTACTTTAGTTGAAAGAAAATTAGGAGTCACAGCTTCTATTCAGGGTGAAGTGATGTTTATCATTACGTGTGTTCCTGTGCCAGTGGTGTACAGAAAAGGAGCTGGTTGCACGCAAGAAATACCTGTGATGTATAACGGCAAGCCTATGTTCGTAGAACCCATCACTAGGATTTTAACTACTACTGGCACATCATCCATCTGTTCTTCCAAAATGGCACCAAAATTCAGAATAGATGAGAAATGGATGACTGTGTACAATGGACCTATGGAGAGTGCTGCACCAAAGATTTTGGACCCTAATAGTGTAATTCAGTCTTGGAAATTCATTCCATTGTTGGATATCTCGAAAAATGGATTGTATGATGCTGAAGACATTGAGTCTCTACAGAAGAGCATGATGTTTGGAGACAACAGAGAGGCCTTAACCACAAATTTTGCTAAGGTCTTATACGATAATGGAAAAACTGGCAATGAAGGGTTCTCAGCTATTGTTACAGAAGATGATATTTCAGGATTAGGCTCAAGGATCGGGGGTTGGATGTTTAGGGTTACAGACTTAATAGGTCAAACTACGTGCGTTCTTCTCGGCATCTTTGTGATCATCGAGTTATTCTTGTACTTAGTAGACTGCTGTTTAAACGGGACAATCATCTATAAGAAGATGGGATGGTCTCTGTGGATTTTGGCTGCACCCCTACATGCTATCGTGCATATGATCACACATGACATCACTCGAAGGAGAACTCCAGCTGAAGATGAAGATCAACCTGAAGAAGTGCGAGTTGAACAAAAGAACTAAGTTCTCAAAAATACCGCTACATCCTCTCCTTTGTAAAGATTCAATTTAATGATTTTTCTCGAATGTCCATGTGGATTAAGAAAATCGGAGATTTGTTCAGAGCTCGATGTATTGCAGTGGACCAGCGAATCAACTCAGTGCTTGAAAGAAGCCGTTTAATTGTTAACCGCGGACGTGGGCACGTGGCATTAGCGATACCTAGGCGCTAATGTCTAGGTGATTTCGCGTTCATTCCTCAGACTGATGCAAGCAAGCTGGGTATTACAGGAGTTTTGGGACAGGAAATTGATGGGAAGTTTAGGCCAATAGCATTCATGAGCCGTAAACTTAATAAGGCTGAACAGAATTACTCTGACATAGATAATAGGTAATAGAGTCAGGGGTATGATTTTGTTATTGAATACATCAAGGGAACGGATAATTTTTTGGCCGACTTGTTTTCAAGGAGTGTTTATTTGCCGGAAGGGGAGTAAGAAGCGAGGGCTTGGGAATAATTTTGGATCATTTGTTCAAATGGAAATAATAGATTTAGGGGGGGGGGAAGGTATGTAATGAATTTTAGTTTTCGGATAATTGTAGCAGATGTTCCGGCAACATCAACCAATGTATTGGACGGACTTGTCTTACGGGTTGTTCATTCGTTGATCCATACTTGAGAGAGCCGCTTGTGTTCTTGTTCTTGGAGAACTTCCCTCCTCTGTTCTGCTGTTTTACTTTAATAAACTTGGACCAAGCCTAATGACCCAAACACCCAATTGGAAGTTACCGTCAATGAATGTATCAATAAACCCATCCGTTCGAACCCGAACTAAGAGAAACCTTACAGACGCTCTCTTGGTTGGTTATAATTTATATACCTCCATGAAACTTAGTAAAGAAGAATATTATCTCATGGCTTTTCGGTGCAAACCATGTTTCCGATCCGAGATATTTATCATCAGGCACTTCTATAAGCTGGCTTCTAGAATTAAACTGCGTTTTATTTTAACATGATATCGTAATTTGTTTAGAGTTTAGACTTAGAGTGTAGGTTTAATGGAACTAGTCCTGACGATTCATAGACATTGTAACTAAAAGTAATATTGCATCCTGTTACATCGTCGAAGGAATACAATTAACGTTGTAAGCGTTAGAGCATTACTCAGCCACTCGCTCGATGTGTGACAAAAGATTTATTGATTCTTGTAAAAACTATCTAGACTATCAAAATGTTGAATATGTTTGATAACTACCATGCTCCTCTTTAATTGGATAGTTCAATTGAGATGTTTATGGACCACAAATTGCTACTCGTGTGTTAGTACAAGTTTCATCATTCGAAACAATTTTCGTGAGTCACCTTCGTTCTAATAATTGCTGTAAAGACAGCAAAATATTGTAAGTGTAGTGTATTTTAATTGTAATTAGTGTAAAACTTAGAATAAGTATTGTGACTTCCGTAGCCTGAGAACTTCATGGTGTTCTAAATTATAAGAATTTTCATTTATTGCATAAAGTTTTGTGTTTTCGCTAAAATTGTTCGTAGAATTTGAAACGATTAAGTGCTCTTCTTAGGGAGAATTTAGGTATAATGACTTACACAGTTGAAATGTTTTCCACTTTTGCTGAATTGTACAAAATTAAGAGATAGAGCAAAATATAAGTTGCATTATTATGTATAACAAATTCAATACTATTGCAACTTAGGCAGTTGCAAAAGCATTGCAACTGGTTCCACCGTTAGGCAGTAGGCTCTCATTATGCGTGTCCTATATACTTCCATTAAATAATTTTTTTTTGAATGTCATTAAACTACCATATCTGTTTGTATCGCACGCAGTTCTTTGTGAATAATATGACCTGTTTGATCTATTTTCAGGAATTATTGACAAGGAGTGTTGTTGCTTCATATAAAATATCAAAGTTCTCTGTTCTCAAAATATCAGTGTAAAAATCTTCTTTTGCGTTTTCATATCCTGTGCAACAAATATTTTTTGGCCTGAAATTTCTGATTTAGCTCTACGTATTGAATTGAAAATTATTTAGCCATAATTTGGAAAATATTCATCTCTTAACAAAATGTTGAAACCAGAATTTTCAAACCATCTGTTTGTATCAAGTTTCTTAGAAATGGAAAAAGCTTGCAGTTTCATGGTGTAAAATGAAAGTTGTCCAGGATCACTTTCATTCTGTATCAAATTTTGACCCATCGCGCAAAATTTTCGTCTACACTCGCTACTTGAAGTTAGATTCGAATAACATCGATGCCGGCTCTAGGAATCGGTTGACAAAGAGGTGATCTTAGAATAGAATAGAAATGTCGGCACTGAAGAAATAGGCCAGTCACTAACTCACGTTACTGGAAGTTCAGCAACGGATGACAGCTGATGTATCCGTTCAACGGGATTAAGACGATTGATTATCATCACAAACTACCTGGCGTTAGTGCCGCTAGTCGCCACTCTGGAACTACTGCACGTAACTCGCCGCTCGTCAATAAGAACCGCGTAATACTGTACAGAATTACGATTTGTACGGTTTGATCATCATATAATTAACTACTAAAGAGGACTAACTAATATAACTATTAAAGTATTATGATCTTGCTAGGTAGAAACTTTGGACTCAGTTTTGCTAACAAAACAAATCGCTTTTATTTTGAAGGCCGGCCACATAAGTGCTGTGGCGAATTTAGCCGCGTTGTCGGTGGCTGGACTTGCTATACGCGTTCTGCTGCAGGGTTGCCACTTGCCAGATGGAGCCAAGAGAAAAAGGCCAAATTTGACTCTCAAAAAAGGCCCGAAAAGGCCCCATTTGAAATGAATAGAAAATTTTTAAATTTAAGGTAGTTCTAACCATTTGCAGTGCATGCATTTACTCTCAAGGCTTTCAGACAGCAAAAAATACACCAATTTCATCACGTGTAAGAGCTGAATTACCGTTAATGCTACATAAGCCGCCAGCCAGCAGCGAATTGCAAGTTACTCGCCGACCGTAAATAAAACCGTATATTACATGATATTTAGGATTCAATTGCCACCTAACAACCATAAAGCTTTTCGTTCGAGTTAGAGAGTTTGGGCTCAGTTTTGATATTTTGCTAACAAAATAGATGGTAAAATGGTAGGCGACATAAGTGATGTGGCGGGGAGCGCAGCCGTGCACCACCAATTTTGTGCACCAATAAGCCCTGAATCGAACGCCTTGGATATCTCCGGACATCCACCAATCAGCCGTGAACCACTCGGCTTTGTCTTCCTCCGGCCTCGCATAGAACCTGCCGTGCACCACCGGGCCGCGGATCGAATCTGACTTCTGGGCATCGTTAAATTACGTAATTTTACGTTCACCGCATCTGAGGTTAGGTTTCAGATAGCATAGTTCTGTTCCAAAATTTATCGTCTTCCGACAAGTGGCCGTTCGACTGAGGGCTGGTTCGACCCACGGCCTAGATTATACGGACGGCTTGAAGTGATGAAGGCTACGTTCCGGAAGGCAGGAATCATGATGGCTCATTACATCCAGGGCAGTAATGGTCTTCGGCAGGCGACCCATGTGGCGAAGTTTTTGACATGTTGGCATTGACGGTAGAATATTTATACTCGGAAGATGAAAAAATTTAAACTCATTTCTGCGGTATAGAGATGATGTGGTCCTTGCAAGACTAATATAAATATGAAAAGTCAATCCTATAAATTTATCACAACTTTTGAATACGCAGAAAAATAATATATTGCCTATCATTACTTGTATAGGAAATAAAATTTATTTGTTCAAAGTGATATTTTGAAGTGACTCACACCAGAAGGCTGAATATATCGAGAAGCTGCGCTGTAATCTCAAAAAATAGTGCTAAATGTACTGCTCTTTAGAAGTGAAAACTATACTCGATTATACGCTCTGTCAGCTCTGCCGTCCATGGTTCTTAATTATTACGAGTCGGCAATTGGATATAGTCCCATGGTTCAACCAAAGTGTTGCCCAGATTAGGCGGCACTCGCTAGTGTTGCCACCTTAACCGAAGTGTTGACACAGTTTCGTGTCAAAATTTGAGTATACTCGTCTTCGGCAAAACTGAATTTGGGTGCACTCGTCTTGGATAAAATTGAAGGACCAAATTATCATAAAAAAAATGCCGAGAGTTACATTTTGCATAAAAAAGGCCCAAAACGGACAAAAAGGCCAAATGAAAATTTTCAGGCCAATGCATTTCAAAAAAGGCCACATTTGCGAAATTTGGCCTGAAAAAGGCCCATCTGGCAACATTGTTAATAATAATAATAATAATCTGCTGAAATGGCTCCGTCCGAAATACAGAGCAGGTGGGTCACGTGGATGTACTAGCAGAGTCCGAAAATTAAAAAAACTTGATGATGATCTACAATCTATACATACAGTTTCTATTTTAAAAATATGAGCTTCAAGTGCATCAGCACTTCATGAAAGATGTTTTTTTCTTTTCCAAGCTCGCCTGACCCTACATTCGTGTAAGATATTAAGCCCCTGGAGCGGTTTCTTGAGAGTTCCGCAGACAAGCTGGCCTTGCAGACACTTCGCTCTGTAGCATCCAAACCGACGCGTAAGCAGGCACAGCGGGTCATTAGAGCGGCGGCAGCGGTGACGTAACTTATTGCTCTAGAACTGCTATAATCGAAGTATTATTACCCTGAATATTAAGCCTTGCTAGAGTGACTGATGTATTACACCGGGTAATTTTGTCACAAGATTTTTTTTAGTTTGTTCAATAACGAGGTTAATTCGTGACAAATTTTTTGTGACAGTGATAATTATTCATACTTATGTCGACAAGCATTGTGGAGCGTGCTTCTGGCTGGAAATAAATGTTATTTAGCGTATACCAACAAATTAGAAGTGTGATGCTTGAAAAATTTCTGTCGTCGTTTCATTTCTGTCGTCGTTTGAATAAAAAAACCGTACATTTTTCAGTAAATTTAATCTATGGACTTGCGATCAACTGAAAATCATGGCGATGTCATCTCTGGCTTTGTTGAGTTCGAATGCCTCCGATTTGGGATGGACAAGCTTGTATGCGACGCCAGAAATTAATAACAACCGATTTCATAATGATGATTTAAGTCTCTTCCTTCTACAAAGACTCGAAGAAAACTTCGTTCCGCCCGCAGAAAGAACTCATTCGATGCTTCTTGTATCCCGCAATGGGACGAATTCCGAAACTGAAGAGACAGACGTTCTCAAACTGATCAGCGACAATTCCAACACTGCCAAAGAAGTCGTTCAGAATGTGTACGATTTTATTAGACATCATCCAAGTAATTCTGACCCTGAAACTAACAACGATGTTGCAGTGAATTCGGAAGATGATCAGTTGACAGATATTGACAATTTTCAAGTGCTTTACAATAGTTATGGTCAAGTGAATCCCAACTACAAGAAGCAACAACAAAGTAACTATACAAATCCGACTTTTTCATCAACTGTCAATGTTGATTTGCACCAAACATCTACATTGCTGACGGAAGCGGGTGAACCAAGTGTAATAGACGATATTCTAAACCTCGAAACTGAAAGCAACATTGAACATAATTTTGAAGTGTCGTCAGATTTGTTTTTGGAAAAAAATCTATCATCAAACTTGACTGAACTAGCCAATTCCTCTCATGTCACGACCGTGTCTTCGTCTAACGTCCTAGAGTCAGTCTACTTTGTCACCGAACCGCCGATCGAATACGTCAGTTTCGTTTCGGTGATGAACAACATCCTGTCGTATTTCGGGTACACTGCAACTTCATTCGTGTTTTGGATAGACTGTTTTACTGGAGGTCTATTTACTATACTTGTTTCTGGGCTGCTTATGTTGTACAACACGGTAGTGGCGATGTACTCAATGTATTTCGACGTGCCGCTCACCAGGGGCTTTGACATAGACGCTTTTTGGGACTTGAGTCGTCAAAACAGCCGGGATTGCAGCCTCAGCAATGCGCACCTCTACTCCAAGTAAGCCCCAGATAAGGTGGTTGGTGTAAAAAAACCTAATATTTTAATTATTATATTTAAATAAATCTAGGAGCCGTTTAAAAATGAAACGTCAATCAATGTTTATTGTGATTCTGTTGCGAGGTCTCGAAACATTAAATATTTAAATCGGAGGTAATCTTCACTAAGTTCTTTACTACAAACCCTACTAGTACAAATTTTAAATTAAATATTTTACATTTACTTTTGCTTGGCAATATTCATCAGCCGTAATAGTTTTTCTTTTATTTTCAGAAATTTCCTCTTCGGGGAATATCGAAATCTCCTGAGGAACGCAGCGCGGTGGGAATGACTGGGCGCATCGCGAACCTACCTGATGAAAAACATGGGCTTGCGCCAATTATTTTGTAATACAAATTGCTTCTCTGTATTTAACTTATTGCTTAAATGAACTTCAAAATAATTTGATCATACTGAATTTTTGCGTAGACACATTCGAAACGCAGAATAAAATATCAAGGCGAATACCAATTAATGCCTGAGAATTTTTCATTGGACATCAAAGTAGATTCGCGTGACATTGAGGCGTTCTGCAGCATTAATTCAATGAATTTTCCAGGTTAATATTTTTATAAAAATAAAAATTTAAATAAAGACAGTATGATGGCCCATTGCTCTGTTCGGCGAGAAAATCGTTCCTTTTTTTTCTCTCTCTGATTCCGGAGTTGGTTTACGATTACGACTCTCGCCGGATCAGCCTAGCCGGACTCGACTCAGCCTCGGGCTACTCCTGCCGAGCTTTCACTTGTGGCTTGGGGGCAATGATGCCCCAAATTCCACTCTGTCTCTTGTTTATGTAATATGGCCTTCAATTTTTTTTGCCGGGACTACAAGGAAAAATCCTATAGCCGATCTAGGAAAATTGTTGTACTCCACAATTTTTCATTGTAAATTCAGTTGTTGAATTGGCTTACTTTGGCTCAGAACTTCTTTTTTAAATAAAGAAAAATTGTCAATATATGTAAACAGTTTCAATACCTCGTTCACAGATACAATTTTTCGACGAAACTCGAGGCTGCTTCTTGCATTTGTAAAATTATGCGTCTGGCATCATTGGGGTTAGGAATACATCAATAATAACATATAGTGTCACGTAGAGTGACGTATAGTGTCGCGTATATTGGTACGGATAGTGACGTATAATTTTACGTATGGTGTTATGGATAGTGACGTAGAGTTTTACGTATAGTGACGTATAGTTTTAAGTATAGTGCCGTACAGCTTTACGTATAGTGCTGTACAGCTTCACGTATAGTGTCACTTGACGTATATAGTGACGTATAGTTTTAAGTATAGTGCCGTACAGCTTTACGTATAGTGTCACGTATAGTGTCGCGTATAGTGTCGTATGACGTTGCGTATTGTGCTTGTGATGATGTAGAATGCTACTTATAGTGTTACGTATTGTGAAGTATAATGACGTATAAAGTTACGTACAATACTACGAGCCTCTGGCCCACTAGATGCTCGCTATTTAATTGAGTAGGTGTTGGATAAATTATTTTGCAGTAATAAATGTATTGATAAAAATTGTATTAAAAATAATAAATTTCTTAAGCTGTTTATTAATTTACTAATCGAAAAGCTGTTTTCGATTAATTGTAGAAGCTGGCTTATTAATTTTCATGTACTTAAATTCACAATAAAAGACCAGTTTGGCGTTCGCGCCCAGTAGACTTTTTTGTGATTTTATTATATCAAGTGCCTTATGGTTTATGAAGTTTGTTTGGCAGAACAAATTTCAGAGCGTAAAGGCTTTAAACGTAACACCAAACTTTGCAATGTTTTGATGTCAAATCCTGATTCGAAAAAGCTTTGTTATTTATCTATGTCTCAATAAATAAACGTGTGTCCTTAATTAATTTGTTTGAACTATTCAAACTTCTATCTTCCAACATGCGACTTTCCAACTTCTGAAATTCTATTAAATAAAATGTTAAATCTCAGCTTATAAAGATTTTGTGCAGGATTTATTCAATTTTCGTTATTGGAGGTCACTAAAAACGAACGAACGATTCGTGAATCCCTTCACTCTTAGTGAATGTATCAATGAATGCATCGACGACGACATAGACTTTGCAAATTTTCAAGCGTATCGTATTTTTTCTAGCGTGGCTCGGAATTTTTTTCCTCTTTCTCAGCCTTTCGAGCAGCTGATGTAAGGCGATGCTTTCTGTCAGGGACGTTCATTGAGCGATCTATCCGAAAGTTGCTGTCACTGCTCAACATTGTTCCATGTTCGGTGAAAGTTTCTGGGTTTTTAATATAAATCTATTTCCCTCCATCCCGCGCCATGTGAAAATTATATTAATTTAGCTTAGGATTTTGCACTGCCCTCTTTTAACTTTGTTCGATGTCCTGCTTCATATTTAAGTACATACTCAAATATTCATAAATTAAAAACTTTATTTCACTACTCCAATCTAATCGTCGTAATTCTCCAGTCGTAATCTGGCCACCGACAAAACAACGTTCAATTGAAATTTATATAAATGTTAAGGATATTTATCAAAGTGCCTCCATGAATTATTTCAATTATAATTTTTCAATTGAAATTCATCCAGATATTTCGATATAAAATAATCGCGATTTGAGTCTCAACATTTATTTACCTTCGTCAACATTTAACGGGAATTCAAGCATTTGTTTCATACACCTATCATTGTCTACTATAATCAGAGTAAAGCAATAAAATAAGCTTGGCTTTTACAAAAATCACCGCTAAAATCTGCCAGTTTATTGCCTGCGTAACGCATTTTGCGTTATATCACAACCCGTAAAACTCATCCACCGTTACCGAGCACAGACTCACAGCCCGTGAGTGCGATGCTGCGCAGCTTCCTCATTTCTTTCAAGTTTCCAGTTCATTTGTCGCTGCAAAAGTGAACGCATTTCAGGAGCGTCGAGGCAAAACAGAAGCTTTTCGCATTTGGTGACAGGGGGCCAATAAAGCCTTGCGTGTACCGTGATTCTTCGTAAATGATCGCAAGCTTCCGTGACACACACAACACAGCTACGCTCGTGTAGCGTCAAGTGATTAGATAAGAAATTTTGAGCTGAATGTGAGTATTGCATCGATATTTCGGTAATAGTGAATAAAGTTATGTCTGAATGTATAACAATGTAAGAATCTTTTATTTATATACAGATTTTTTTTGCAATACGATTTTTTGCAAGATATGCATAGTGCAAATAATGTGCATCCCATGCCTATACACTTTGAATATTTAAAAAAATACTATCAAGTCTGACAAGAAAGTGAAAAATAATATTATGAAACATAGAGCTGCGCAATTCACAACAGCTGGTTCTGTTTTAGCATCGTATGCTTTAAATTTTAAAAATATTATTTTTTTTTGCTGCAGATTTCAACTTAATAATTTCTTTCGATTTTCTCATTTAGAACAATTAATACATATTTCAGCGCTAATGATTTGCTGTGTTCGTATGGGATGCTCATGGCCGTATTTCATCTTAAATTCACTTGTTCCTCACTTATAATTTTCATTTATTTCATACATTCATATATATTTCTTATATATAAAACATTCCAATAAGAACTCTACGTACCATGTCAAAAAGTTCGCTGCCAATTACAGCTTGTTAATGCTTTCATTAGCTTAAATTGTAAATAAGACATTCTTTTGAATTTAAATCACATTTGTTCGGGAAAATGAGTTTTATAACTATTTGCTAACTAAACCATCTTTCGATTTAATTACAATTGTACTAAAAAAGTAGTTAAACAAATGTTTGCATATTAATAAATTCTCCACATATCAACAGCTATGAAACAAATATTTGCATATTAATCAATTCTCCGCATTTCAGCAGCTACAGAAGACCTCGACATGCCTGCGTCACCACGAGCCAACATGCACCCTCAGGCGCAGCTTCCCAACGCCCTCTCGATGTCGCCTTCTGCTGGAGACCCACAACAGGCCGCGTCCTCAGACGCACTTCTGCAACGCACTTCCTACCCTCACCCTATAGCGAGTACTCACAGCGGTGGATACCATACAGCACCTGCCCCTGTCTTGTCCCCCAACACCTACACCCTGAACCTCGTCGGAACGCTTGGTCTCGCCCTCGTCATAGGTGTCGTCATCTATGACTTCATCGCGTACATCTTCGCAGTGTACAGGAACCAGACCGACTCCTACAGCCCCTATGGCAGGAGGATGGCTAGTCTTGCCTCTGAGCTCTGGGAGAGGAAGACCATTTTCTCAGGACTCAATCCTTACCTCAAGGGAAGGTTAGTTAGTATTTTGGTAAAATGAAAGTGTTTTTTGTGTGTATTATTAATTTTTGAGGGCATTTTGTCGCATAAAGGCTGCAGTTCTAACGCAGTTAAAGAACTCATGGGAGTAAACTTCTAAATTATTTGTTGAACATAACCTAGTTTCTAGTTTTAAAGCATGTGATTTTTTGTACAAACTGAAATTTCAGATTCTTCTCCTTTACCTAATATGATTTAATTTTCTGTAATATTATTATATTATATTGTTAGCAATTAACTTGTCTATCATTTCGAAATCAAAATGCAGTCGATGCCAATTTTAAATTTTTTACGTAAAAATTTTGTTTCTTGCTTGAAATTACACAGTTATTAAATAAAATGGCTATTTATCTTCTTGTAGAAAGCTAAATAAATATATTAAACAAAGTACTTCTCTATCGGATATTTTTGGTCTTCAAACTACCTGTGCACTTCTTCTTTGTTATTACCTAGATGTGCTGCGTCATTTGCTGTACATAATTCTGCTTCACAAAAATTCTTTCTGTCCAGATCACTCGAGCCCTTGACAGAAATCATCGACGTCATCGCAGACGCTGTCAAGAAGTGGGAAGAAGAACCCGCTGAGAAACTCAAGTCTAATTCATCCACTGTCGCGGCAGCTCAAGCTAAACCGCGTACTAAGAAGACGCAAAACAAACAGGATTTTGTGTTTAAAGAGTAATGCTGATACCTGGCAGTAGGAGTAATGCTGATACCTGGCAGTAGGAGTAATGCTGATACCTGGCAGTAGGAGTAATGCTGATACCTAGTAGTATGAGTAATGCTGATACCTGGCAGTAGGAGTAATGCTGATGTCTGGCAAAAAGTGTTATACTGATACCTGGTAGTTACATGAAAATTTATAAACATCGAATTGAAGACGGTTTGCAGTCGAAAAAGTGCGAGTGAACAAAAGGAAAAAATTACGAAATTTATGCGCATTTTTTTTAAGTTTGAGTTAAGTTTATTTTAGATTTTGTATAATGCACGAATGATTGTATGTATAAAGAAATTAACTATGGTTCTGGTTCTGAAATTTTCTTCATTTCCAGTTACATATTCTTTTTTATTTTAACTGATCGCATCACTGCGGAATTTTTTTTAGTTGAAAAGGAGCAGCAATCACATGAGGTAAATTAGAAAAAAATCGTTATTGCGTTATCAGCAAGTTCAGTTTCAGCGTGAACCTATAGAAAGTCAGCTCGTGCATAAATCACATGTATTTTAAATGAAATTACGCACCAAATGCAGGGTAGAGCCTAACAGTTTTTTATTATTGTCGTGTTGTTTGTACATGTAGGGTACATGGTGGTGTTCCATATTGTTTTTTAATACAGCGCTAAAACATTTGAAATTATTTGATACTGCATGTTTTCACCCGAACAAAGATATACCTGGTCGTTGATTGTTAAAAATGATGTAGTTCAATGTAAATAAAAATTTCAAATTTATATTTTTCTTATTGGTGTGTTTTTTCCCTTACATTTACTTGTTGCCACCTATAACCTGAGGTCAATTCATCATGATGCGATTACGTATCATCAGTGTCATTTATCATTTGTATCAAAACTACGTTCATACTAGTAGCAGCTTTAGCGTTTTCCGACTAATCAAAAAATATTACTGCAATTGTTTTCAATTACCACTAAAAATCAAATTCTCATGGTAACCGGTCAGGTCTCGCCTCTCATGGTAACCGGTCAGGTCTCGCCCTGCGGGCGTCCGGGTGTGAGCGCCCAAGTTTCTAGGCCAAGGACAAGAATTGCCCGGAGGGTCTTTGCCTGCCGAAAGTCTTTGTACGTCTACCGGAGATCGTCCTTGACTTGAAAGCTCAAGTTGGGTACATGATATACTGTATTAGAAAGCCTTGTGAGTATTGGTACCTATTTTATTGTTTGCAAGAAAACGCTACACATGCGAGTCATTTTTTCAGAGAATACCAGATTTTCATCGCTGTCATTGGCTCGTAAATAGTCTATACTCTATCCATTTCGTTCAACAGACAAAACATTTATTACATGATGCGTTTGTTAATTAGCTAGCAGAATTTGCGCCTGTAGCTCAAAATGCAAGAAGGATAAACAGTAAAACATTCCATCTATGGAACAAACTTATATAGCGATGATTAACGAACTTCGTAATAATATTTTTGTTTACTTTCGCGCTTGGAAAGGTTTGTATTATTATAATTATTGTGATTATATCATAAGGGACCTTGCTTTAATAGTTCTAGGAACATAATCATCGCTGGATATTTTGAGGAGAAAGAAACGAACAGGAAAACTTAATATAATTAAGATTATTTATCACTTAGCTTATCTTACAATATTCGGATACTGTTTACGTAATGCCCTCTCATGCATATTCGAATTTATTAAGTGAGATAAGCAAACTTCCAACAAATGTTATCATTTAAGAACGATAATAAATTTCGAAAATATTTCAAAAACGCTGAAATTTAATTTATTTATGTGACTTCGAGGTTTTAAATATCAATTATGACAATGTTAGCTCATCGTCAACTTTTAAATCATAAGGAAAACTTAGAATCAACAAATGATGCTGGTCCACACATTCACAGTTCCTCCATCACGTCCACATTTTGATGGCCCTGGAGATCGCGTCCAGGACGGGGGTGACATTTTCCAGGGATCTGTTCAATAAATTAATTTTTTCGTATAAATACATTTTCAGTAACAAAAGATACAAGATTCAACAAAGAGAATCTATGCCCTAAAATAATTGAGTTTATTCACAGCAATTCTACGATTTAATAAAATTTATTCGGTTTTCATCATGATGGAAACCATTATTGGAAGAAAGTATTGATTTATTTGAAGTTGGCTATGGCGAAAAGTTTTCGATTGACTTCAGAATTGTGTAAATGTAATTTTGAGCGAGCGATGGATGGAGAGAATTTTTCACCCTAAATCCCACTTTTTTGTACTGGAACCTATAGTGTTTCGAATGCTTCATAAGATTTTTTACGTAGTCTCACCTGGACCTGACGTATAGGGATCGTAGAAGTAAGACAAATATTTTTTTAACGTATTCCCAACTGAATCTGACATAGGTATCGTAAAAATAAATAAAAGTTCATTTTTTTACCTCGTCTCACCTGAACCTGACGTATAGGGATCGTATAAGAAAATAAATTATTTTTCAACGTATTTTCTTCTGGATCCAGCATAGGTATCGTATATATAAATAAAATTTAATCTTTTCACGTAGTCTCACCTGGACCTGACGTATAAGGATCATAATAGTAATATAAATAATTTTTTTAACGTATTCTCATCTGTATCTGACATAGGTATTGTATATATAAGGATCCTAAAGGATCCTAAAGTAATAAGGATCCTAAAAGTAATATAAATAATTTTTTAAACATATTCTCATCTGTATTTGACATAGGTATCGTATATATAAATAAAATATAATTTTTTCACGTAGTCTCACCTGGACCTGACGTATAAGGATCCCAACAGTAATATAAATAATTTTTTTAAACGTATTCTCATCTTTAATTGACATAGGTATTGTATATATAAGGATCCTAAAGGATCCTATAAGTAATATAAATAATTTTTTTAACATATTCTCATCTGTATCTGACATAGGTATCGTATATATAAATAAAATATAATTTTTTCACGCAGTCTCACCTGGACCTGACGTAGGGATCATAATAGTGGGCAATTTCATTGTGTCGTCTGTTGTCCCAAGCATCGGCCGCCATAACCGCAATGCTTCTGCTGTATGGCGTGAACTCTTCCTCGTTTCCCTTATAAAGAGCGAAGATATAAGCGATCAAATCCACCAAGAAGACCACAAAGAGGATCCCAACGCCTACCAGAGCCACGGTCTGGAAGTCGATGGCTTTGATGGCAGCGAGAGGGTCGACCGCGAATTGCTGGATCCCCGACTCCAAGTTCGTGAGGATCGCATCAGTCGAGTTAGTGATCGCCTCTACCCCCATGACTGAGAAGAAAGAGTTACGTTTCTCTTAAAAATTTATCTACATTGTATGTGTAAGAACAAAGAACGCAAATAGTGAACTATTATAGATTGATTAGTACTTTGAAGGTGGTACAAATATTCCCGGTGGGACTAAAAATTTTATTTGATATTTGCCGATATTCGACAGTGCATTTAGGGCCCTTGTTACTCGAGTTTTTCTGATTGAAGATAAGAGGAATTATGCCCTAATGTTTTCTAATGAATACTATACGAAGTACAAGTTATTTGCTTTGAGATTTTCGAATTAATCTTCACAAAGAATTTTGCAAGCCACGAACGAGATTTTTTCACAGAAAAATAATTCAGAAGGGCATAAATGTTTGTGTTTACACTCCTTGTCAAAATTAAGTTATTTTCTAGTTTGAATAAAATGTTCATCATTACACGACAAGAAGCCTTCCACCTGATTGAAAAAATCTGAAAGTTTTGCCATAGCGTTCCGAGTGACATCGCTAAATTTACGGAAGAATGTCGCACAAAAAAATATAGCGAAACTTTTTAAATTGGTTAGGATTTCGGTAAGCATCTTCCTAACCGAGAGCTGGTCAAAACCAAGTGATGTTATTTATTTCACATACTTTATTTAAGAAAAATTGAAACCGATTGATTCAAATCTTTATTTTGCTATTAAATTAAATGCGCAAATTTGTTTTTTTTAATCCCGTGCGCCCTTATAGTTTTGGTAAATTGAAGCAAGATTATGTTCCAGAAATAATAAACAACGGATCTTCATTCATTCACTTAAATAGAACTCCATTGCATGCGCTACGAAAATATTGGAATTTTCATAGGCCTCTTGATAATTTGTCTGTTAAAATTACTTTACATGAGCAGTTACCCAATAAAAATTCTCAATAATATCTGTTTTAATTTCAAAATATTCGTTCAGTGAGTGCGAGTTATTTGTCACCACTTACCGTATCCTTTCAGATTATCTACGACAAGAGAATCAGACCCAACAGAACCGATTGATGGATCACGGGGCTTCTCGATGAGATAATTTTTTTTCTGAAGTGTCTGGGGGGAGTGACAAGGAGCGAACCTCTCTCGACGAACACAGTCAGCAAATGAGGTCAAGTTCGAGTCCAGAGGTGCCTTATATAGTCGCGCCCGGCGCACGACCTCATAGCCTTGACGCTTGATCCCGAGAAGATATCGCTATATCATTTATCCTAAATTTAACTCATTAAATTGTCTACATTATGATAAAAATTACTCGAGTACTTGAGATAAGCATAGCATCTTGATCTATCGAGCAAGTTCAGTTTGTCCAGCTGGTACAGTATCATCAAAGAGATGCTCAGATGCCGTTCGTGAACTAATGTAAATGGCATGTGGGCCGGGGTTTGACTACTGCCACTAGTACGTGATGGATTCAATTGCAACTATTGCTAAGAATTGAATTACAAACTTTATTTCATTCAGTCAAACGCGAGATAAAAAACATTACATCGCTTACATTTTGAATGCAATGAATATTTAGGATACATCAAGATTTTGTCAGCTTTTCTGGCTGTTTTAAACGTCCACCAAGAACGTTCTTTTACAGAATTCGTTCCAAAGAACGTTCTAATAAAAAATTATGATATGGTAATCTACAAGCTGGGAAGCAACGCTCGTTAAAACTAAAACATTTATCTGCATAATTATTACTTAATCTAATCCAGCAAACTGCATTCAATTCGACTTAATGTGTCACTTAGAAAATTCACGATCTAATGGATCCCGTTAAAATGTAATACTGAATATTGAAAAAGGAACTTTCATATTGCAGGATGTATTGGACCATGATTAGTGAATTAACGTATCAATATTGACTAAAATTTTGAATAAAAATACTATAGTTTATAGAACCAAGTGATACGTTTTTTTAAATGCTGCATCAAAAATTTATGCACTTATTCAGTGGATTCAAAATTCGAGCAAAGAATGATCAGGCATTCAACAAGCTTCACAACGATGAAATAATGGACACAAATTAATTTATTATGTTATGGCAACAATTAACTTACACACTAATTGACGACCTTATACCGGCTATAAGAATATATGTAGAAATTAAAAATTTTGACGCTCACACATCATTTATACATTCATTAAATAATGCATTTTGCCGTGGTTTATACGAATTCTCTCATTATTGTCTCGGAAACACGTTTGCTGTACAACTGCTTAGATGCCAGCCGTAAATACTCACATGCCAGCCGTAAATACTTACATGCCAGCCGTAAATACTCACATGCCAGCCGTAAATATTTACATGCCAGCCGTAAATACTCACATGCCAGCCGTAAATATTTACATGCCAGCCGTAAATACTTCAGCCGTAAATACTTACATGACAGCCGTAAATACTTACATGCCAGCCGTAAATACTCACATGCCAGCCGTAAATATTTACATGCCAGCCGTCACGTTTCTAATGCTAGCCTAAAATATGTATTCTAAGTTTAATATTATTCAAAAGGAAAATGAATGCAGTAATTCAAAGTACCTATAGGATTCCACACATAAAAATGAGGCCGAAATGTTATATATTTTTCTAAGAGTTTGCGTATCGCATATGAGCATCGTCGATGGCCTTGAGGACGCTGGATGTGAACGACACTGAACTGCCCAAAAAATTAACGAAATTAATTAAATAATCGAAAATTTAGTATAAATCCCAGTTTAATAATTCTCCAACAACAGCAAAATTTTGGAAAGTAAATTTTACTGAAAATTAATTTAATTTAATTTAATTGATTAATTTAAAATTTACTCTTAATTTTACTAAAAATTAAGAAAGTAAATTTTAAAATGACTGTAGAAGCTAATTTTTTTTTAAATCGAATATAAAGTGAATATATTCAGGTAGATTAAATATGCATAGTTTATATCAAGTTTGGACTGGATATCCACAGAATATTTACCATGTCAAAATTTTTCTTAAGGTAAAATTTCCGTCCGGTACCATTGAGCATAGTACTAAATTTTGACAACGAATAGTACGCTCGGCGTTTTTTTTTTTCTTACTTCATTTCACTTCGAAAATTTATGCGACTGTTCAATCACGTCTATCAACTCCAAGTTCTTCCAATTTTAGATCATCTAATTTGTCCTAAACTCCTAATAGTAGCCTACACAATATGCAGCCTACACGTCAAGCAGCCTACACGGTGATCATCACACGAAACTGATCCTTGTTCTTGTATAATTAATTGATTGTGGTGTCTGACTGGAGCAATTATCAACTAATTGATAAGGAATAAAGTGTGACAAAGATTTTCTGTTATATCTACAGCTTCTGTCCGAACAATGAATGTAGTTCCTCTGCAGGGAATAGTTAAGTAAGCCGACAACGCGCTCTGAAAGATCTGGAGCCATACTTTCAAAATTCGCTAAGTGAACGTAAGTACATACGCTCTATTTTCTTGCCTATGATTGGTGGATTTTGCTTGAAAGGCCGTCAATGATTGGCTGATGAACTTACGATCTCTTAACTGTTTTTAAAAGAGTGGCTTGAAAGGCCGTCAATGATTGGCTGATGAACTTACGATCTCTTAACTTTTTTTTTTAAAGTATAGGCCCTGGTTAAATTAGCAGTTTTGCGACTTTCTGCTAGAAAGTTACGAACACTGCGAGAATCGGCGACAAAACAGGCCTCCAACGCCAACTGTAATATATTATATACATTATTTTAAATACTATCTTCTACATAGTATAAAATATTTAGACATCCTTTCGCCACGGTGATTATATGCGATGACAGCCGTAGTGTCTTGGGGTTAGACGAAGTTACCATCTACTCGGTTGCCTGCTACACGGTCGGGTTAGGTTTCTCAATTTATCGATTCACCTCAGTATGGCATGATGGTTGCATTATATAAATGTATATACCAAATAGGCAAGTCTGACTAAAATTTTCTAAACATTTAAACTAACTAAAGCAGCATTTACACCAGAATAATTGCTCACATAGTAGATTTAACTATGAACCTGATTGCCTAACAAGATAATTGCCTATAAATTTTTTTTGTAATTTGTGCAAAGCTAAATTTTAATTGTGGTTTAATCCATTGAGAGCGCTTGGCATTATGCCAGTGAGCAATCGGCACGCAACGAATTACATCCACGATGAAATACAGTAAAACTGAACTTCGCATAGGTCGTGACGATCGGCAAACACCATCCTGTCTTTTAATTTCGGCGGATTGAATGTCAGTACTGAATATCACACAAGACATCAAGTCTTCAAACACAAATATGATGCTCAAACTAATTTAAATAGCATGGTTCATTTTGGTATGTCACCTCGAGAAGGACGGGTGGAAGAGTCCTGAAGGATCACGTTGCGGAGCGGCTGGCACCTGCGTGAGGACTGGGGACATCGTAATTCTGGTCCACCACGCGGGCAGGTTGTCGTAAAGCACCTGAATTAGGTTGGTACGGGTGCCCGTCATGCCTGGTATGGAGTAAGTGATTAAATCAACTCCTTGAAAAGATAATATGAGACCTGCAAACATTTGCAAGACGGTCCTGATGGTCTGGAGAAGCCCTACGTATGGGCCGAGACCCGGGGCCAACCATGCCTCCAGGGCGCTCAGGACAGGAATCATCATCGACGTTAGAGGAGGAATGGCCGCCATTATGAACTTGTTTTGATTTTATGCAGCTGTGCGTAAATTAAAAGTTCAAATCACTTTGCGAATACACGGAGAAACTTTCAACTTGGAGAAAACACAGCCTAAAAATCAGTTGGAGAATATTTTATTCTTCTTTAATGTTTATCACATTTGTAAGCGCTTCTGCCATGCATCAAATTTATATGCAAACAACCATATTTCCGGAGTTTCATGCATAGCGATGCAAACACCACAGCACAGGCGGTCGGATGTTGCTGGATGGCGCAATGGCGTTCATGCGGAATCAAAATAAATTTTTTTTTACAAATTTTTCATGACCGTGTGTGTCGAAATGATCATGTCATTTATATTATCAGTTATCATTATATTTTCCTTTTGAAAAATAATTTTTGTGGCTATGTTCATGTGTGATATAATTGTATAAATTTGTACTGAAAGTTCTTTGTAATAATATCGTATCTGGTATTCATTCACGTAGATATAAATAAACATTTGCAGGACCTTTAGTATTCACTTGTTGTGTTTTCAACCACTTTATTTGATTGCATGACGTTATTTTATTTCAACTATCGGTTCCACGTCCATCGAATAGATTTCATCAGTGCAAATAATCAAAATCCACATCATCATTTTCGTTCGCTGTCATATGAAAAATGTTGATTTTTAAAAATTAAAAAAGTATCAGATAGTCATTGAAGAAACCTCGTTGCTGAACTATAGTATTCGTAGCCAATTGCGCGAAGTGCTGTTCGCCTACATATAGTCGTAAACGCATGTAATTCTCTATAAGTGTTCGCCATACCCTGATTTTTTGTTAAATTTCCAAGTATTTTTCATGCCTCTCCTACATCATTTTTTAATAAAATTCATGACAGTTTCAATATCGCCACTGAATATTTTTATCTGTGATTTTCATCGATGTTTACAGGTGCTTGCATGACGTCCGAATTCCTCAGGATGGAGGGCGATTTAACTTTTAAATAACGTAGGACTGCAATCCAGACGCAGCTATTGTGGTGCCTGACAAATGCAGTAAAATGGAGATCGGTTGACACCCAAATGACAGCTAATATTTTCCATTTAAAAGTCAGATCCTCGTCCAATAAATAATTCAATTCAATAATACTGTTATTAAAAAGAAAGGACCAGCTTACTTCATGCTGCGTAATTAGTTAGATGTCTATGCATTAAGAAAAAATTACATTTACTCTCATTTATGTACTCTCTTTTTTTATTTCCTAGCAATGGGATTTAGTAAAATTTTGTAACACTTATTTTTACAACTGTTTCTGCAGCTTTCGATTTGTTCCGTTGTGCAAATTCAATACATTAATTGATCATTAAACATCTGACATAATTCTATACATTCAAGACATTTCGCATGGTAGTCAAGATTTTCTAGAATGACATTTCTAATGAAATTAATTTTCTAAGTCAAGTTACAGCGTAATTGATGGAATTACAGAAAATTCTTCGCGATATGCAGTCATCTACGACTGCGACTCAGATTGCGACAGTCATCGATAAGGTTAAAATAAACACATTTTATTGTAATTTTATTTTTTTTATTCATTACAGTAGATAACAAAAAGTTCGAAACATTTTACTGAAAAAATACCCATTTGAATGGGATGAGTGTCATAATTTTTTTTTTCACAAAATGATTCTGTCCGTTAAATAATTCGATTTTTTATAACTAATTCTTGGGTATCTTATTCATCACCCTATCGTCTATTTAAAAATAATCCTAAATCGTTGAATTACTACTTAACAATTTTTCATGGCATCGAAGCAACAAAAACCATTTGGCTTCGAGTTGTAGCACGTTAATGCGACGTTAACAGATACTCATTAAACGAGTCTTAAAAGAGTTCAAAAGAGATATTACTAAAAGAATAAACAAACGTCAATTGACAAGAGACGGATACAAAAATTTCACAAAGAAAAGAACATTAAAAATGGATGATCAAACAGTGTGAAATGGATCATGTTAAAAATTTTTAACTAGAATAAAGCATGGGCGAATGAGCAAGCGTAAGATTGGATGAATGTGCGCATGAATTAACGAGTGAGCGTATTTATAAATGAATGAGTGGATGCTTGAATGAATGAATGAATTCGTGAGCGTATAAATGTATGAACAGAAGTAAACCTAATGTTATTGATGTACATAACATAGCGAGACTGAATTGATAAAAAACTTTATACACTGAGACGGTAATCGGTCTATTTACGCATTTAAAAAAGCACCGACAATAGTTTCCAAAATTTCTACTATCAAATGAATAAACATTTGACTGAAGTAATGGATGTTTGGTAGCGAGTCAAATAAATGAATGAATAGATAAAAGAGATGAATCAATATTAAAGCGACAGTAATATAAGTGTTGCTGATTCTTTCCGTGAAGCCGAGCTCTTGAAACACGCGGTTGCGGTGACATTGTGGGCACTCGAACTGCACGTCTACGAGCTGCGCGAGAGAAAAATTGGTTAGTGCACATATTAATTAAAATTGATCAATTCATACTAATTGTTTAATAAATAATTAATTCATAAACTGATATTATGAATCTGGCCTCTATATTATTAAACAGGGAAAAATAGTTGTATTATTAGATAAATTATATTTAAAGGCAAAGTTGAGAATACTTATGTACTTATGTATATTCTGATAAGTTTTAGTTTCGAGTATATTTGAGTTGGAACAATTAAGTGATTGTCAACTCGGATGAAATAAGTTAACGATTCAGATTTACATCTTGATGGAAAAAGTATAGTAAGGCAACTTCAATTCGTTAGAAAGAGATCTGAATGAGAGATTAGCCCCAAAGTCTGATGCAAGTTTATGCTATGATTACTTTATAAATGATTTAACCTATCGATATCTCCAAGAATTTTCATTCGATTTTTGGTTTCCACGAAAGGTAATTTTCATGCAAATTTAAGTAACTTTGCATATACTAAATTGAAAAAGAAAGGTTATGAAAACTTACATCAATTGCATCTTACATTTCAAAACACAAACTAACATAAATTCGTGGCAAAGCAATGAGCTCCCGAGCAAGCGACAGAATTAAGTTACCTATTTTTACTCTTTTCATAAAAAGTAGCCCACACAAATTTAATATATGGTAATGTTTATGAATTATTAAATTTATTTTTATTTTGTCTTTTTTACCCTTCCTGTACTACAGAACATTATAAGGTACAAAACGCTTTTATGCAGTGGGCGCTGCGTGGTGACAGAAGCAGCGTGTGCGCCACGACAAAATTATCAACAAGGTCAAATTTTCGATTGTCAACAAGGTTGACAATAGAAAAAGTTTGATGGATTATTGAAATAAAGCGTAAACTTTAATTGAGGTGGCGCTGTCAGATATAAAGAATTAATAATAGACGTTGCAATACTTCGACTGATTTTTTCTGCTTAGTGTATTGCTTTTAGTTCGCATTAATATAATGAAGAAATTACAAAAAAATACTAGAAAAGATAGAATATTTCAAAACAAACCTTCTGAAGGATGCTATCATATAAAAATAAGATATAAATAAATACGGTACTGAAAACAATGTAATATCTCGACACCCACCTTCTGAAGGATGCTATCGTATTAATATAAGGTATAAATAAATACTATACTAACAACAATGTGATATTTCGACACCCACCTTCTGAAGTATGTTATCATATTAATATAACATATAAATAAATAATATACTAAAAACAATGTAATAATTTCGACACCCACCTTTTGAAGTATGTTATCATTTTAATATAACATATAAATAAATAGTATACTAAAAACAATGTAATATTTTCAACACCCACCTTCTGAAGTATGTTATCATACTACTATAAGATATAAATAAATACGGTCTTAAAACAATGCAATAATCTCAACACCCACCTTCTGAAGTATATTATCATACTACTATAAGATATAAATAAATACGGTCTTAAAACAATGCAATAACCTCGACACCCACCTTCTGCAGTACAGGTGGCAGCGCAGTCTTGACGCAGTGCCATGGGGCGAGCTGAGATCTGACCAGCCGCGGCCACCAGCTCGGTAGGTAGCCGTACAACGCGTCGGTTAAATTAACCCGATTGCTCGTGATTCCTAACATTGAATGTGTGATTAAGTCCGCGCTCAGCAAGGTTAGTGTTATTCCTGCGAATATTTGAGAAAAACCTTTGATGGTTTGAATCGTGTCCAAGTATGGGCCGAGTTCGAAGGAGTCAACGCGTTTTCGATGGCACTAAGGATTGGAATCAACATAGATGTTATCGGCGGTATGGGTTCCATTTATGATGTTAGTGATATCGCGCAAATTATACGCAACTAAAACGTCAAAAGTACGATTAGCGCTGGTTTCTATATTGAGTCACTAGGAGATTAGGCGATTTCCTTTCAGTGTTCTTTTCAACCACACTTTCACAAACACCTCAAATTTCGCTGGAAATGTATTCGAAAACCTCAAATGTTCAAGAGATTTACTGTTGACCGAACAGAAACACAACCTGACGAGTACACGCCTATGGCTGGAATGAGTGATCCAGCCTGGCAGAGTCAAAATTCAAAATTTTGGAAACGGCCTAAAACAAAGACCTGGGTCTGCTAACTCCTCATAGGGGCGGTGCCTTTTTGTGTCACGTTGTTGGACTGGCCAGTTTTTTTTTTACAGTAGGCGTTTGTACCTGACCCAAGAGTCTCAAGAGATAATCAATAAATTTGTCTGATATATGGTCAGTTTTTCAGATAAAGACGTTGTAAACAAGATGTAGCCAGATTAGTCCTGTAACTTGTGGTATTTTGAAACTGAAATTTTCGATCCACATGTACTCGAACAAACGAGGCTGGGTCTGTATAGTCAATTGAAACAAGTGCGATTACTTGAATATATTTTATTTGTGATGATTTTGTTACGAATACGAACATTGTTCGATGAATTGTGATCGAACGGATTTGAATTTTTTCTAAAACTTAATCCACTGAAATAGGTTATTTTAATTCTATGACAGCAAGATGAGCGAAAACTTCTGAGATCGTTGTTTTTCTCGGAAAGCAAATTTATAATCAACAGTTTTTAAGTTATTTCGTAAATTATCTGAGTTGCTTGTCTTTGTTTAGATTTTTTTCAGATGTCGGACCTACGGAGGCGTTTCATCATTCGATTTATACGTTCGTAGTAAGCATAAAGTAGCGGCCCAGGGGAGACTTGATCACGAGTCTATCAATTGAATGAATGTTGAACTCTCGACTCACACTTGAATTAACTCAATGTTTAATAAAAGTCAGTAGCTTCTGCTGATTCATTTGTACTAAAAGAAAATATCTTCTGATAAATACTCCACTATAAGCACTGACACTGGCGTTAATTATGCATTAAAAAATCGAATTTATTAAAATTAATACATGGAATAACTAGTTTCATTTTAAAGCCTTTCTGGCTTTGTAATCATTTAGAGCAAACAGTTTGTACTGTGAATAAAAATTTCGATAAATTCATAATTGCTATTTTTCTTGATTATCTAATTTTAACCGAATATGCTCCAAACTGATTATTTTTTCTTGAAAAAATTATGTTCTAAAAATTTATTTGTCTTATTAAATAATTTCATTGAATTTATGTTAGAAAAATCGCCAGTTTTCATTTTTTTCTACAACCCAAGCACTTGTATTACTAGTTTGTGTTAACAAAATTTAAATTTTCTCTGAAATCAAATGTCTATAGGGCAAACTTCTGATCCTATCAGCTCGGCATGGCCGAGCAGGTAGGCGATCTATAGGCACGAGTGTGCTACTTCATTCCACTTCCGCTCTCACTTTCTCAAAAGTCAAGATACATTGGAAGATGTCTCTAGGTTTTAAAAGAATAACACACTGCAGGAATTTAGCTTTCAGTAAGACTAGCTTATAGAATCAATCCCTTTCTTGCGAGTCATGATACCTTAATTGAAGTTTTTTCAAAGTTTCAAAATCATAACATAACATTTCAACGATTAGTTAGAATATATTTAGTATGAACCCATTAAATGTATTGTTGCCTAAAAATAAATTTCATGTTACGATAAACTTGGAACTAGCGCACACAACGAACTTAAGATTTCTATATAACTGATCTATCTGTTTCGCTGAGAAACATTAATTAATTACTAAATGGCTGATTCAATGTAAAATGTTTCGAAAATATCTCCATTTTTCAATGGCATCAACATGATCTGATACTAGGACCGCAGCGTGCTGAGGCTGAGGAAATGAAGATAAAACAACAGATTGAAATATATAATAAATTTTATTTAAATAATATTAATACCCGGACAAGTATTTGATTTTGAATAAGCAAACTGTGTTCCAAATATCAGCTTACGTACACAGAACTGAGATTAAGACGCTGACCGCATGCCTGACCACGTGCGCAGCCACGTGGTCAGCCACGTGTCTCCAGCACCACAGACACGTGCCAAACACAGGAACGCTGTGAATAATTGATATATTTTTAGTTTAATAACAGACTGCAGCAAAATTAAGACTCCAACTTTGAACACAAATGTTTTTTTTATCGTGCCATGGTATCTAAATTGCTAGATAATTTTCATATCTTTATTGCTTTGTTTTAATGTTAGATCTTTTAGCTGGAGGTTTATTGCCTCTATAGGCCTATTGCCCAATATGCCTATTGAAATTACCTCAATTTGATTACAGATTTCAGTTCCAGTAAGACATCAGTTCTATTATTTGCTTTTGGTGCTGGTAAAAGCGTATGACTGGAGGCGCCTTAATTGCTGTCCAGCGTTACAAGATGCTGCCAACAACTGCTTTTAGTTTTCGCTGAATTAAAAGTTGAATTAGAGTAGCAGAAATTGATTAGTTTCGATACTTCATGAGCCATTAATTGTTAACAGAGACATGTATTGTAATATTAATGACGATATTTATTGACTATATTGCAGCGAGCCATGATCTTCAAAATAGGTTATAAGATAATAGATTGAAATTAGGAAAAAATTCCAATGACTATTTAACTATTGTGCTGAATGGGTAGAATATCGTCTTCCAGCTAATTTTGCATTTCCTACGTTCAAGGATGAGAGTCTGTCAATCACAAAAAATGTGATTATACCCTAACATATCCTTATGCCCTTAGTTTTCAAGCGCCAGACAATTCTCACGATTCTGTGTTAAAAATCAAGCAAAAAATTAATAATGACCCCTCTTCTGCATGGAAAAATTTATATCGAAAAATTCTCCATTGGACAGTCTGAATTTTTCGACTGAAATTCGCTAATAAGTCTCAAAGAGATCATTTCCCACGTTGTGCAGATGATCTGTCAAATGATTGATTGCTTAATAGTGAAGTAATTGATTATAATGCAAACTTTTTATATATATGTTCCAATATTGATGAATATTCTCTTAATTCTATCCACCCATCGAGTAACAATGCACTTCAGGAACAATGCACTTCAGGAACAACGCACTTCAGGAACAACGCACTTCAGGAACANGGTACACTGTACAGTGCAGACGATACTGTATCTGACTGTACACAGTACAGTACAGACGATAGTGCGTATGACGGTACACTGTACAGTGCAGACGATACTGTATCTGACTGTACACAGTACAGTACAGACGATAGTGCGTATGACGGTACACTGTACAGTGCAGACGATACTGTATCTGACTGTACACAGTACAGTACAGACGATAGTGCGTATGACGGTACACTGTACAGTGCAGACGATACTGTATCTGACTGTACACAGTACAGTACAGACGATAGTGCGTATGACGGTACACTGTACAGTGCAGACGATACTGTATCTGACTGTACACAGTACAGTACAGACGATAGTGCGTATGACGGTACACTGTACAGTGCAGACGATACTGTATCTGACTGTACACAGTACAGTACAGACGATAGTGCGTATGACGGTACACTGTACAGTGCAGACGATACTGTATCTGACTGTACACAGTACAGTACAGACGATAGTGCGTATGACGGTACACTGTACAGTGCAGACGATACTGTATCTGACTGTACACAGTACAGTACAGACGATAGTGCGTATGACGGTACACTGTACAGTGCAGACGATACTGTATCTGACTGTACACAGTACAGTACAGACGATAGTGCGTATGACGGTACACTGTACAGTGCAGACGATACTGTATCTGACTGTAAACAGTACAGTACAGACGATAGTGCATATGACGGTACACTGTACAGTGCAGACGATACCGGATGCGACTGTTAAGCGCTAACGATACCAGAACCACTTGACAATTAAAGTTCACTCTTTAAGGTGTTGAGAAGGACGTCATAAATACGATTAGTGCAGCTCCTGAAAACCGCACGAAAGCCTTAGTGAATTTGTTTACATGCGACTGGTGCACCAATAAAAGTCAACTCGACGAGGAAATATAAATTACTGAAACTGAATGATCATCCGCTGGAAAAATAATTTTATAAACTATGTACAATCAACATGGAACATTAAATGAGTAAAGACATTATTTATTAGGGTAGCGTGAAAACGTATTGCCATTTTTACATTATATACAATATATTAACCGTGGGACTAAAACATTATTTGGAACGATCTTCCATTGTATGCATATGAAAGACCTTTGAAATGGGTAAGTCATGCTTTAATTGATGAATAAATTAACAATTGATTTTATTTAATTTAATTAATTTTTTCATTATTTCATTTCATTTTTATTAACACGGAAAGGTCATTAACACTGAATTACTGTGCAGTGTACAGTAATTTTTATTAACACTGAGAAGTAAAGATTTCAGTGCTAAAAAATTATTTTTTTAATCATGCGTGTAAATGAAACGAAATCGAATCAATGAAGGATAACAATATACCTTGGTACAAATAAAATTAAGGCATAGGCTTAAAAAATATAACTCAGTACTCACTGCAGTGAGTGACAGAGAGCGCATTTTCTCGTCGACAAAAACATAAAGTCACGGACGGACGGACGGACGGACAGACAGACGGACAGACGGAAATGGCGAGCACAATAGTGCATTTTTTCATAAATGGGAAAATTCGCTAAAAAGCTTGATAAATGACTCAGGAATAGGCCAATACTCGTTTTAAACTTTGAATTCTTCTGTCCGTGATTTGAAGTCTCGTAAAAACACAATGAAAATTTTGTGCCGAGTTGAATAAAAAAATTATGAACAATGAAAGTCAAGCGTTAAGGTAAACATAATATTAGTGCGGCAGTTAATGAGATTATCATAGTCGGGCCACATGCGGTGCGTTTAGGCCTTGCCTTATGTACTATAGAGCATTTATGGAGCCATGAGCAGCATTTCATTTGTTATTATTTACTTCTCAAAAATTTTCACTGCCTAGCACAAGATAATGTGGCGACGATTTGATTTACAAGAGTTGCCGCGCGCCATCCATCTGGTCCTTGAAGCCAATTGTTTAATTCAATAGTTACCTCGTTAATAATAATTATTACAGAGATTGCCGTTTAGTGTTTTAACTACGACGAACTTTAGTATGGCTTTAAATGTCATATGAGATAAATTTCACGTTTACGTACAAGTACCTGCAAATCCACATTAGAGTCCCGTCCTTATATGTAATAAATTTTAAATCAGATCGAAAACAACAATACTCAAAGCCAAAAGCCAATTGCCATTCGCTACCAAGAAGGACAGAACCTGCCAACGCGGCACTAATGAACAATCCAATTGTTAGAAGATAAATTTATCAGCATTTATTTCGCCTCGCCTGCCCAAAATTGTTAATGCTATTGTCTCACTTTGTCATGGGCGGTCTCTCATTGGTACCTGGACTCGAACTAATTCGTTGGATACCAACGTTAGTCAAGAATAATTCGTGGAAGCTTACACCTGTGACTATTGTATAGGTTCATTATATTATGTGAGTAATATAACGTTGTTAACAGTCGAAGCAATGTTATGACAAAAGAGTTTGATCAGATAAAGACTTTATAATTCAAACCATTATATTCATGGATTTAATATAATGCAAGTTTTTTAAATTCAAATAAATAATCTCACGTTTATAATTCAAATAATAATAAAATTTTGATTCAGCACCTCTTCACTCAAAAACGGCGCTCTTTCTGGACGCTCGAACTGATCAAATTTGTAGCCAAACCGAGGCACATGATTTCCTATAGCGCAACATAAACAGCAACACACGTGGGTAAATGAGAAACATAATTCGTAAATCCAGCGATTTATTTTCAAAGTCTTTGAAGCTGCATTATTTCATGTTTCAATGTCCTGAATTAGGAAATTGGTAACAGTGATCTTTGTTGTTTTCCGTGTGTTCAAGGAAAATTGGTCTATGAATAAATAATATTTGTTCTTCTGAAAGCAGTATGTTGGCTGATGTAATTTTTATGTTGTGGTTAATGTCTTAAATAATAATGATCTTCGATATCTCTAATGTAATAAAATTAAATTAAATACTACTACGGCTAGCCAAAAAAAGCTACTTGTTGGACACAGTAGAAGCGTTTGAGGAAGAAACATGTTGGGAAGAATAATGTTTAAATATCTATGACATTCTGTTCTGGCAAGAGACGCGCTATATGCTTCGCAAGCCGACTAAAGCAACAATTACTGCAAACTGAAATGTATGCAAAAAGTTGAAGTCGACATTATTGTTGTAGAGCACAAGAAGCCTATTCCTGGGTTATTCCAGCGTTTCATTATAGAGTGTTGGAATGTCAGTTCAAGCGTTAAATTTTTAATCTAATTGGAACCAAACTTTGAAACTCTTTTGGGGACATGCTTGACGATGACATCGGCGCCGAGAGCGGGACCGTCTTGCGTGCTAACGGAATCGTCCTGGGAGTCATCGGGACTGCCGCTGTGGACGTCCGAAGATGAAAGGCCCGCAGCAGAGCTCGAGTCTTCGCCTCCTGACGACGACTGGGATACCGAGGAGCCTTCTTGAGTGGACTCCGAATTTTCCTCCTCAGTGAAACTCTTGCCAAGGCTCAAGCTCTCGATGTTCTCAGCGATGGACTGAGAGGCCCCGGCAGATGAACTTGCCGCAGACGCATCGCTGCCGATGGACGTTATGAAATCAGTGAGAGGATCTGACACTACGCCAGCCGAGCCGAAATGCTGTGCGTCAGTCGCGTCATCTACAGTGTTCACTTGAACGACTTCAAGCGTATCGCTGCCCAACACCGGAGCTCCGATGTCGATTACTCCTCCAGAGCTGCTGACGGCGGATGAACTCAAAGACGACGTTCCTAGAGCCGCAGAACCTGCGCCATCCAAGCTAACGGCGATACCTCCACCCACGCTGCTTGTTGAACTCTGTGCATCGCCGCTGACTGACGCGAATGAGTCTTGAGTAAATCCGTCAACTGATGATTCTGAATCAGCGGCTACTGAAGATGAAGAGGATGAGGCAGTGAAACTGCTACCTGCTGATGATTGGCTGTCGGTGGCAGCTGTTTCTACGTTATTTGAGCTTGACTTCACTGAACCAGCACTCCGAAGCTCTCCTAAAAATGTTGCTGTGGCAGAAGATGAGGAGGCAGATGATTCGCTATCAGTATCAACTGATGATTCTGAATCAGCGGCTACTGAAGATGAAGAGGAGGAGGCAGTGAAACTGCTAGCTGCTGATGATTGGCTGTCGGTGGCAGCTGTTTCTACGTTATTTGAGCTTGACTTCACTGAACCAGTACTCCGAAGATCTCCTAAAAATGTTGCAGCGGCAGACGATGAGGAGGCAGACGATTCGCTATCAGCACCATGAGATGATGCGGACGCTTCAGATGCATCATCGTCGGAATCAAGTGATGCATCTGACGAGGCTGACGAAGATAATCCACCAGACGTGGCTTCAGCATCCGACTCGTCTGTCGATGTTCCAGAAGCAACGCTGTCCAATGACTTACCAACTGCTTCGGCTGGTTGCCGATATGAGTCCAGGCCAGAAGAATCAGCGGCCCCAATTCCCGTGGCGGTCGTATCACTGTGTACATCAATGGACACAGTTTCAGGCCCCTGGATCTGCTGAATATCTTCAACGCGAGCAAACAACGAAGAATCGGTTCCGTATCGGCCACCATTGCCACCTACAAACTCGCCTACAATACTTTCCTGTGCAAGTGCTGTCTGTAAGTTGATGCCTCCAGGCAACTCCAAATCTTCCTGAGGATCATTGTAGTTGATGTAATAGACCTCAGGCCTTTCGTTTTGTGCAGGCAACTGCACAACCTCTCTGGGAACGACTTGGTTTCCTCGTGCCAGCAGGTAAATCAAACTTTGTTGTTTTGGAGGACCAACAATTACTTGTTCTCTGAATCGCACTTCCGGGGATCTTACAAACACGTAGTTGTAGTCACGGTTGGGGTTGTCGAAGATTCGAATGTGTGTCTTGGGTCGCTTGTGATGGGGAGATTGGTACATGTAGTACCTCTTGTTGACCACAGGCGCGGTGCAAGATCCATCTATCCACCGTACCTCTCCCTCCTGGCAGGGTGCGCGGTATGAACCCTCCCTGCTGTCACCCCACGCCGCTGCCACCAACACCAACAACAAAGCCTGGAAAAATTAGAGGTCAGGTCGTGCACAATAGAACTTCATTGGACTCTCATGTTTATTAAAGTTGTGTAAACGATATCATTATTTGAAAAAAGCTAAAATCCTAAATTTATTCACCTAAACAGTTGAAACCTACTGGAAAAACATTCACCAAAACGGCTCAAGTAAAGGGTAATCACTTTTTTGTTGTTCCATTTAAAAATATTACGGTATGGTTACGATACTGTGTCAAATTCATGTAATAGTTATGTTTTAAGTCAGTGATTGTATTGATTCGTTTAGTGGTCGCGTTCGACTGCCAACTGATCACGTCACGAAAACTCAACCCTTGAGGGATCATCTACAAAGTTGATGTGTGAAGAAGAATGGAGCCCTGAATCATGTTGCACTTTTAAGTAAGATATGCGCATTGACGAGGAAGGCATCCCTCATAGTTAACCAAAAATTAAAGTCGTTCCATTTTTGAAGAAGTGCGAGTTTCCATGGGGTGATATATGTTTTAAATATTTTTTTAATTCTGCATAATTGACATGAATGTGCATTCACCTTTTTTAAAAAACGACTACTTAGATGATTAATTTCCTGCAGACGTAAGACGTAAATGAAAAACTCGTCGGCACGCGAAAGTTATCGCACTGCGATCATGTTGACATTTGGTGACATGCATGAGGTGATCCAGAACAACATTAAATTGATCTTAAGAAGTGTAGCGACGGCTGTAGGTTTACGTGTAAAAACAGAGGTCATTGTAAGAAAATTCCAAGGCTGTCGTTGGTGATACGATTCAAATGCAAATTTGACGACGACATACGAAGGTGAGAATTACCAGTCGTGTCACCTGCTACAGATTGATGGATAAATTGTTTTCTTTTTAAAATTAGTGATATTTCCTCGATTTAGTGACACCATTGCCTTATGAACGGCCTAGAATTCGTGTGCTTACACGTGAAAATTAAACTTGGGCAAAAGGCAAATTTTAATGAACTTCTGACTTTCAATTCACTAATTTGTATGAAGGCTTTGATAAAGAAGTCTTATGCTTTAAATGTAAATATTATTGACCAAATAAACAAAATTTATTGTAATTTTTGCTTGCTTCTCTAACCGAAAACTGCTAAGCTTCACTAATACTTGTACTTTTGAAAAGCTTCTATTATTTTTGACGATATTCTTCCAGTGATTAAAATGAGAGATTCTGATGATTTAGCTTAAAAATTAATGATTTGACTATATGCTTGTCTCAATACATATTATTCACAATATACTTGAGTACCACATAATGGTAGAAATATCAAATTAATAATATATGCTTACCTAATGTGTTAAACCTTGAATGTAGAGTTTTGAAAGAGAAATGGGTAGAACCTTATGCTCAAACATGTCTGGTTTTTGTAGATTTAACCATGTAGTTTTTGTAGTTTCTGTAGACCCACTCTAATCGAGATTTTTTTTCAAATGTATAGCGAGCGGTGCCAAATGTTTATGACCAAATTAGGAGCTTCCACATCGATAATCGAGTTTGTTTTGTTGCTCCAGGTTAATGTTATTGGGTCGCGAACCACGGCGACTCAACGTCGCGGGGTTAACCAATCTCTTCAACCAAAGGTCAAATTTGGAGTAATTTTTTATCACGGCCAGGGGTAAAAACTTGAGATTTGATGGGATTTGAATATTTTTTATGCATTTTGGTTCGTCTTAAATCCCTTAATTTAAATATTTGGGCAAGGTTGTCGAGTGGTTAAAGTTCAGGGTATCATGAGTGGAGCATTGAGTTGCGGGTTTGATCGCAACTAGCTGTATTGGTTTCGGTAAAAATCGACGATAAGGGAGCCTGGTGGTTGTGAACAGTAAAATTGGAGCAGTGAATTGCAGGATTAAAACCTCAGCTAGCTGAAAGTATTAAGTGATGTCAAGATTAGGCGATATGGTATATTTGACCCAATAAACTCACATAATGCAACGGGTTAAACTGTCATTTCGAGCTAACCTGCTAACCGAATTAACCCGAGAACCGCAGGTTAACAGCTCTTAATTTATCTGGCACATCTTCTTAGCTTGCCGGTTCAACCTGATAGTCTAAAATACACATTACAGACATTTTGCGTGAGTGCGATGTATTTTAACGCAATTACTACAAAATTTAATCAAAATTATATTGCAAATATGCGATAATTCATCCATATATTTATGTAACCAGCACGAGGAAAAAATATATTGTTTCAGCCATTACGCCTTCCAGAAAATAGATATTTCAGGGTTGTGAGGCTGAATCACAGTTACAGTCTCATGCAATAACGTAACAGTCTCATGCAACAACAATACAGTCTCAAGCAACAACAATACAGTCTCAAGCAACAACAATACAGTCTCAAGCAATAACGTTAAATTCTCAGTCAATAACAGTACAGTCCCAAGCAATAACATTACATTGTCATTCAGTAACGTTGTCATCTATTGCAATAACGCTAAAGTCTCATGTAATGAAGTTACAGTATCAAGCAATAACGTTATAGTCTCTATAAGTAACTTATCAAGATGAATGATAATAATAATTCGGTGACGGGCGATGAGATCACAACACGCAGTTATTTTTTCTTGACTCGCTCGAGATCGAGGATCTGTGTGCGCCTCAGTGGTCCAGGTGATAGTAAAAGTGTTTTTTTTCTTTATAGCGGAACTAGAAATTTTTCTGTTTAGAATGCTTCTAGAAGGGGATAAAGTGCTGCGCATTCTTGAAAGCTGAGTAAGCTAATTAAGAAGTAATCGAGGGCGTTGGTCCATCAGTTGAAAGTTACTTTGATTGAAGATATGCAAAGATGCCGGAAATATGATCGAAGAGCTGGGTTTATTTATGTTAAAGGCATCGTTTTTGCTATGGTTAGACAATTCGGGTATAGCGACAAATCTAGCGTTTGAGTTTCAAAAAGAGTATTCTGATATAAAATCACCCTTTTTACATTTCAAAACATTTTTAAATTCATTAGTTAAATAAAAGAAATTCATTAGTTAAATAAATAGCATCTTAATACCTGCTCACGCTTTCCCACTTGAGTCACCACTGCCCGAAATTTGCTACCACTCTTTAAAATTGACTCGATGGAAGCATGAAATTAATTCCGTTCCGTTTGAGAATTAAAAATAAGGAAGAACTTTCGAAATCTGCCAAAAAATTGTTTGTGAAATAATTTTGTTCAGAACATTAATCGTGCGAGCAGTGCCTATAGTAATAGGCAATAACAGTGCCGTAGTCAACAGTTTTCAGTGATGAAATTGCATTGTCATCTATTATGTTGCACGAGTGTGATGTTCAATAATCGATTTAGTTACATAAATGTGATGCGTGATCATCTATTATGTTGCACGAGTGTGATGTTAGGATTTAGAAAGCAATTATTTTATACCCTTGACGTTATATTGGTTTTATTTATAACCATGGCTGTGAATTGTAACCGTTATTTATAACAGTGGCTGCAAAATGTTAGCGCTATTTACAACCGTGTTTGTGAATTGTAACCTTTACTTATAACAGTGGAGGTGAATAAATTTTGCTTGAAGTCTAAAAAAAAATAATTTTAAACATTTTTGCAACTAACTTGGTAAAATAATAGAGTTGAGTTATTGACAGATGTTAACGCATCCGTTGCTTATGTAAACTTCGATTATTATCTCATCGGTAATTACTTAATATTAGCTTCCGCTGTTAATAAATTTAAATAATTATTAAGTATTTAAAAGATATTAATAAAATATTATTATTATATTATAAAAGTATTATAAATAAAAATGTTATAAATTAATTATAAAATAATTATTAAAAAAAATAACAAATATTATTACAATGAATAAGTTTAAATAATTCCCGTATAAAGTATTTTCGGATCACACAACATGAGAAGCTTGTGGTCTTGACACGAGATTAAGGTTAGTAGAGTGAACCGAACTTGTTCTATTTTACACACCCCATGCATGACATGTTTACCGGTCGTCTACGTGCCGAAATATTTCTAATCTTGTTATGTTTTTATCAGTGGTTTTTGTGCCCCGGTCAAGGTCTCACACTAGATAATATCGTTAAATGTGGCTAGCCTCTGTATGACACTTAGGAAATTATATGTGATGATATCGATAGTCGCTCTATTGATCTTATGGACGGTGTTTTGTAATATATTTCGTTGAATCTCTCGCTGTCCTTTTAAATGTCATTCTTCAAATGTCACATTCAGAAATGGTTCCATGTGAGTTAAATTCCTTGAAATGCCTCCCATCTATCTAAATATAATTTAATTGGGATAGGAAATGGCTCTTTCACGTTATAACTTAAGTAAAGCTTTTTGGTATGAATTGTTTTACATTTGCACACAATATAACTGCCACAACAAACTGCAGAAGGAGTGTGTGGAGCAATATAGATTTTCATGTGCTAATTTTTGGCTTGAATTACCTTTAATTATTGTTATTTCAATATTAACATGATTATTATAATAATTGTTATTATTAATACTATTATTAATACTCTTATTTTCATTATTTTCAAAATTATTATAATTTTTGATATATGCTCGTAATTATTTATAATTGGGTATAATTTATAACTGGTGTTCGAACTACAGAATAATTCCTTCAACTTAAGCTTTCCCCAAAGATAGGTAACAAAAGTATTCACCAAAAAATTCCGTATTAAATTGGTACTCAAGCGGGTAATGATAGTAATTTACGGAAGTTTTATTTCGTGAGATATATTGGCGGAACACGTTTGTTTGTGATGTCAATTCGCTAAAACAATAATGAAACAATAAGCATATTCGAAACTGGAGTTATGAGAATTTGCAGTATGTGTGCAATTCCAGAGTCACCACCATCAGCAGTATTATGCGAGAAGTGGGCTTTGTCATTATTTGATATGTATTATAATATCAATATTAAATTTACCACCAACAACATTACGATGGGAACTGTATTTTGCTCTTGTTTGTTATCTCATCGTTACACCATAGTTAAGAAGTAACCATGAAACAGATAAGGCTAAAATATTACTACGCCTTTCAATATATGGTGCATATGCTAAAATGTTAGGTTTTTGGGTACATAATCGAATTAATGAGGTAAAATGAGGTGACCACCACAAGGGCTAGGTAGTTGGGACCTGTGCAATGTGGCTGAAAACTCACAAAAACTGAAATACTTTCACCTAACATGTGCTCGAGAACCGCAATTCACTCTGGGCTTTTCTTTCTCTAGGTTTGAATCTGAGGTAGGTTCTTCAATGGAATCTCGGGTGAAATCTTAGGTAGATTCGCGGATTGAATATTGGGTGAAATCTTAGGTAGATTCGCGGATTGAATATTGGGTAGAATCTCATGTAGGTTCTTGGATGGAATCTTTAGTGCAGTTATAGATAGGTTCTTGGATGGAATCTTAAGTGCAGTCATAGGTAGGGGATTGAATGGAATCTTAGCAGGAATCTCAGGCAGATTCTTAGATAGAATCTTGGGAGGAATTTTGGAATAAGTGACTAAGCCTATACAGATTCAACTGTATGTATCTAGAACGTTGAAGTGAATAAGCCTAAGTTTTCGTGAGCTTCGTCAATAACAAGGAAGATTTATTCCATATTAAATCGTGCAGGAAACTCATTTATTCCGAATAGTTTGAGAAGTTGTATTCACTTTGCAACAGCGATATTTTTATTAATTGCACCGAGTATGCCGAGTTGTTGGATATTATTCGTGTATCGTTAAATAACGTAGCGTTTAAATTGAGTTCAGTTAATATACAAATAAATACCCGGTGAGAGTTAGTTTTTAATCAACGTAATTGACTACAAGCACATAATCATGTTCTTAGTGAAAATATCGTAAAAATTGCAGTTAATTACACGAAGAAAAAATTAAGACTTTAGATCATTATACAATAGTGAGATTCATTGATGAGAGTGAACGAAAGCTTAATAAGTCACAAGGTATGGGATAAGTCCGTCTGTTACGTATAGATTTGGAGCTAGACATGCTTATTTGTAAATCTATGAAACCTAATTACAATATATAATTAATATGGCGTCTGCTTGAACTACAGCTAAATCAAAATACTAAAAAAACTAATCCCCTATATTGTTAACGTTCTGTATGAAGATATGCCAAATTTATTAGCGTTTTCTTCGCTTTAAAATTCTTGGTAAACGAATGATAAATTGTATTCACTAAAAAGTTCCACTATACCTGGAAATAACACATTCATGATCGATATAAAATTATGACCCTGTCGTCACCAATACATCACATACGTCATCACAATTCACTTGTAGAACGCTTCACTCACCGACACTCTGATCATTTTTGCGCTGCCGAGCAGAATGAGCAAGCCAGGGCCGGGGCAGCGCAGATATACGCGCGGCCAGCGGCGCTGACCTATGACGTCATGCGGGTACCTCACGTGTCTGCCTGCGTTCTCTTCGACACAGAAAAATGCTGCGCTAGGAATTTTTTCCAGGTGTCTGGCATGTTATGTTTTGTGTACAGTTTCGTATTGTAATTTGAGATGAAAATTAGCCTTACTTGGAAATTTGGCTTCCCATCTCTTTTCCTTAAGACTTTTTTCATTCAGAAATTTTACAACGGGTTCTCATTTAGTGTTGGAATCTTTACTTAACATATCTGTGCATAACTGTTAAACGTGTAAACTTTGACATTCGATATTAATTTTTGCACAGCTGATACTACATTAATATCAACATATTATTAATTCAATGTCTGATTTAAGCAAGCAAGGCACAACAGCTCTGCTGAACTTGACAGTGAAACTCAGGGAAGACGTGGCCGTTACGTGCAACTTTCTCGGAGGAGGAAGTGTGCTGAAAATATTCGCCGGTGACTTGGCAAATATTATCGTCTAGACGCCGGGTAATAGGCAGGGCTTTTGATGGATATATGAAATGATAACAAATTTCTAATCGGAAAAGAAGTTTTTTGTATGTTATCAATTTTATATATATTCCTGCATTTCTATGTGCGCTTGATTGTCTCGAGCCTGGGGTTGTTAATATATAGTTATCACATAGTACTTATATATTGTAGGTATACGTATTTCTACTGTGAGCCTTTTTTTCTAGCAACCAATGCAACCAACTCTCAATAAAGTATACGCAATACCTCTAGTGGCAAAATATTGCCTTGATTTAATTTTTTTATTTGTGAAATCATAAGACTACGCACTTCAAAGATGAAAACTGAATTAACGTGTAATAAAAAAGAAGACTTGCCTACATGTGACGTCTGAAGTTATTCATCGTCTTTAAGGGCAATTAAAGACGATTTGAATTAGTGATTCTGATGTTTTTATTGCCTGTCTCAATTTGTGAGAGGAATTGTTTGTTCATTGCCATACCCAATTAATTATTGATATGAATGGGACACTAGAACCATGCCACTCAATCAGTGATGTGAATGGTAGGTGGATTATTTGAAATTAATTGAATTTATAAAAGAAGTGAATGGCATGTGAAAAGTCATACTAATTAATAACGAAGTGAATGACACTTAAAAAATCTTACCAATTATTTAATCAAGCGAAAGGCATGAGAAAAGTCTTACCAATTAATTAATGAAGTGAATGACACGAGAAAAATTTTACCAATTAGTGAGTGAAGTGAATGACATTTAAAAAGTCTTACCAATTAATTAATGAAGAGAATGACACTTGAAAAATCTTACCAATTATTTAATCAAGCAAAAGGCATGAGAAAAGTCTTACCAATTAATTAATGAAGTGAATGGCTCGTGAAAAGTCTTACCGATTAATTTAGTTATTATCTTCCTCCCAGCTGGCATGAAAGTTTGCATGGCTTCAATGGCGGGATAATATATCTTGTATAATGGTTATAATATTATATATCTACTTCATTTGATTATATATCTACTTCAGTTCAATATACTGAATAGGATTCATCCAAGTTTTCGGCTGTTGAATAAACCAAGCTTTGCAGTTGGAACAACTGCCAAAGAAATATTTCACAACGCCACCAAATTTGAATTTTCTTCCAAACTTCCTTATCTCATCTAAGATCTTATATGCGAGGATAAGTGGTCAGAAAATCATATGAAATTTAACAAGCTTTTTATATAATTTATCCTTCGTTATCATAAGCCCAGGTACATAATGTAATACGCATCACATGAAACGTTATTTGTGTATGGTCGAAAGTTCCATCACTTATACACTAGCAACAAACTGAAGGAGAAAGTGCTTCGGCTCAAGACTTACGAGCTTGAGCGCTATAGCTGATGACCTAATGACAGCTGAGTGGTCAATCCAGTTTATGTTACCTTGTGTTCAGAACCTCGCAGCTTTATAATGATTTTTTATTTACTTATTCGTGAGCTGAACACTGCTTTGAAAAATTTATAAATTATTCTATATATCAACTAATTTAAAACTAATCTATCAGAAATTCAACAATTTACAGCTGTATCGACTTTTTGGTTATTATTAATAATGATTTTTAATTTTTTTATTTGCAATAAGATTTTGTTTTACGGTTTTCTCACCCTGCCTAGTAGTGCAACTACAGAATACAACTACGTCAGCAACAACGCTGTTTTCTTACTTCTTCCAGATCTTTTTTCAAATACAAATTTCGAAATCATCATTAAACTTGCGATAATTATCGAAATTCATTGGACTATGGGTTCACCCGCCATGGGTGGTATCAATTATTCGTTATCTGTGACGGGGGTGAGGGGGACCTTGCACAACTCCCCATGAAGGGGGCAACCTCTATTGGGTGGGGGGCGGCGCCCCCTACACATGAACTCTCCTAAAAACATCGAGAAAAACTGACGCCGCCCTGCACGGTGCATCGGTCGAGCTCTGATAGACTTGCAGTATCTAGTCCTTTTGTCACTGCATTTTTGCAGTGGAAATGATACGCACAATCAAAGCTGGGCAGCGCTACTTTGAAATGGGCGCTACCGCTATCGCTACAGTGGCTTCAATGTAGCGCCGCTACCGCTACATGTAGCGTGCTACTGCCCACCTCTGCGCACAATGTAGTGTGTAATCGTGCAGCACTCAAACACGCAATTCCAGATGCGATTTTCATCCTTGATGAGCTTTGCGTTTCAAACTTGGGTGTTGATTTGGTGATGTGGAAATGAATTTTAAATTCAAAACACTTTTTGTGCTGTTTCTGCTTTTGTTCGAATAAAATTTTTCATTATATATCGAGTTGGACGAGTTCTCTAAAATTTAACTTCTTTATTATGCTGAAAAAAATTAAAATGTGCCAGTTTCAACATTACGTAGTCAAAAGTTACTGTCAAATTCCTGGTTCTCAAGTGTACTTTTATTGTATATTTTGACCGTAGAAGCATGCGTGACAGTCACTTTACTTGTGTTCAGTTTAATAAACATCTAAGAGTTTAAATTTCGGTGTTGGCCCTAGAGTGAATAGAAGGAAATGTTTGGTACTTGTATTTTAATTCTGAACATCGTGCTGGCTATGTATTCTAGATTTTTATCGTGTAATATGTTCGAAATAAATTATTTTACTTCTCGGTCATACCTTATGTGCAATACAAATTTCATGTAACCATTTTTTACTTTGTATATTCTTATGTTTACGGACGCCGATTTTATAAAGGAAACGGAACGAAAAGTGTGGATGCAAATCATTCACAAACCGAATATACGTAACATTTACAATTACTATTTTAAAACCAATGTCACAAGGAATTTAAAAGCAAACAAAACACCAAGCAAATTCACTATATCGATGCTGAAAACGTTTCGAAGTCCAGCTCCATCATCAGTTCGATAAACTAAAAATGAATAAAATCATATTTTAAGGAAATATATGGAAATTAAAACAAATTAAATTATTAAAACTATGGAAATTAAAACAAAACCTAAACGAATATCAATTAGGTAGCAATAGAACATCAATCTACATAATAACGCGCGCTAAGCATGTTTTACATGAACTTTGCGAAACCATGACCGTCCCCAAGCTGATTTCTTAGAAGACTTGACCTCTTATTCTGATGTCGAAACTTCTATGTTTGAATAAGAAGAAATTACTGATGTTCGACAAGCACGAACCCTCACCAGATGAACTGGATCCAACTTTCAACGAAGATCCAGTGACATTTACCATAAATCTTGATATTTTTGTCAGCATTCTGCTCAGGGATATTAATTATTATAAATACGTCAGTGAGACCAAGTCGCTATAATTGGGACATAGTTGGAGAATCTTTACATGATATCTCTTGAACATCAGACATTTAGAATACAATGAAGCAAATTTAAACTAAATTAATCATTTGCTACAGTTTTCCGTATAAATGTGTCGTATTCATCATATTGGCGTTTTAATCAATGTTTCGTATGATAGTTCTGCAGATTAAATATGATTTATTTTTATTCAATTTATTAAATTTTGTCCGGAATTTTTCCAACGCTCTGATTGAATGAACGAGCAAGTTGATTAAATTGAACTCTTTGTCCCCAATTTTCCCAATTTTTTATTATTATTGGGAGATCGATGAAGAAATTAAAATACTCAACCTAATTCAGCTACATAATAAAAAACGTGCATGCAATGGCTCTGTTTTATTTTTATGTTTCAAATAATTTGAGGATTAGATGAGCCGCCTGACTGAACACAGCTTTACTGATGGATCGCTGGAGGTAATTTATGAGATACTTGATTGTTTTATGGAAATTATTTAACCATATATAGGATTTAAGAGCCTACTTATCCCTCATTAAATTAGTAATAAAATCTGACCTTCAAATCCGGAAATGATGCGTTTCGCTTAAGATGGCATAGGATTATTGCTGAAATTGGTACTGAGTGAGAGTGGCTGAAATAAAAAGTTATTTTTTACTGTCATTCATTTGTTTTTGCAGGGAAATTTCTGATGAAGAATCATAAAAGGACCAGCAAGGTCTCTATGAAAATTAGTGATAGAAGAAGCATCAGTTCATTTCCAATTAACCTTGATGCTCTAGCAAATAATTTTAAAAATCTAAAATGGCCACTGCACTTCGCATGAATACATAATTCGTAAGATTTTACTTTTCAAATTCTAAAAGGTTTTAAGTGCAGGGATTTGGTTAGACGATAGAATTAACGCTTAAAACGAGCAGTAGTGCAATAGCATCCTGAATTGAATTCCGAAATGTATTAGAGAGACACTCATTGTGTCACCAGGCTTTTCTCTTCCACACAACTGGAACTTTATACTCAGATTGAAAACATTCAAAGTGAATTGATGAATCATTGAGGCTCTATAGATGCGACCATGAACGACATTTCACATCGACACCTTGTGTCGGCACAAAAAACGTGTCCATGTGCTCTATGAACTTAGCTA